CGAAGGAGTTTGGTGAAGGTAGATTCACCGCTATCCCGGCTCATGCGGAGGACGCGGGATCTCTCGGCTTCAAGGGTTTGAGAGTCGGTTAGTTGGGCACTGTTGGTGCCACTGATCATCTTCCCGGCAGCTGGTGCGAATGAATCAGATTTTGCGCCGAGTGGGGGGAGAAAGAAAGGGGCTCTCTCAGGAGCTTTGGGAGGTTCCTTCGGTCTGTTTCGTTGCTATAATGAAAGATTAAATCTGTTTGTTTAGATGCTACGGGGTGAGGGGAGGGAAGAGGGATTTACCTTGATAACGTCAAGGTTAAGTAAAGTCTGCCATCTTGTCCTTGGGACGAGTGACATTGTCAACATGTTGCTGCTCAGTTGGTCTAATGTGGTGTATGTGCGGGTGCTGCCATCCTCTCCATCGTCCTGGGGGCTAAGTGCAGCTTCGATGACACCGACACCCCCTTCTCCAGAGGCTAACGGAGCAGTCATGTCTACTATGTCCTTTTCATCAAGATGTCTAGTCGGAACGTGTTTGAACAAAGTTCTATTTGTCCTGTTTCAACATCAACAGCAGTTAGCTCCACTTCAGATAAGTGCGGGAAAACAAATCTCACCATAGGTTTATCCCAACACTATCAACATGAGCCGTCGCCAGGAATTCACCAGTTCCAGAAAACGCCATAGCAGTAACAATACTCTTAGTCCTAATACCATCAATCAAATGCCCAGTTGGTAAATCCCAAATTCTGACAATGCTATCCGTCGAAGCGCCTATGATCCATCTCCCGTCGTTCGAAAAACAAAAGTCATTTATCCTTCCTTGCGCGCCCCGAAGCTCTCGTACAGTCTTGCGGGTTTCAATATCCACCACCCGAATGCAAAGATCATCGCAACAAACCGCGAGGAGATCAGAGTGCCTGTGTAACTTCGCTTTAGTAATTGCGCCAGAATTACTCCAGTGGATTTCGTGGACGATAATTCCGGTATTGAAGTCCCAGAACTTGACTTCCCCATCTAGTGATGTGCTAATCACGACTCGGTTTAGAGAATCGACTACAATTCCCGTAACCGCCTTCGTATGCTTTCCAATACCAGCCATGCCCAACTTCACCGGCCCGGTACTATTTTTAAGACGCTTTGCCACGGCGGCTGATACTGGCTCGGGGAATTGACGCCTTTTAATCCCACTCTGGATATTATACATTGCTATCCCACCATTGCTAGAGCCTACGAAACAGAAAGTCCCGCAAGACGACACAGCTACGCTCCAGACGAATCCACCATCAGTTGTTCGAGCCCAGCGCCCTCTCAAAGACTTGTTCTCAAAGCTCCAAAGTCTTCCGGATTCAGAGTCCCGATGACCTGTTATTATTCCTGCTAGGTCTCGTGCCGCGTTTTCTGCATTTCCGGCACCATCTTCACCCGTTACAGTTGCTATGCAAGTTACTGGGTTTGGTGCCGAAAACCCCCCATTGGCCCAATTCGTGCCCTTTTCGCCACTTCGTGGAGGCTTGTTCGACCTCTTACCTCTGGCCTTTTCTGAGAAAACGAATGACTGCGCGTCATTTCTCATAGAATGAGCTCGAAACGAAGAATCATGTGAGCCAGAGAGGAGGAAATGAGAAGTGGAAGGATTCAGGAAGGTTAGAGAAGTTATGGGTTTAGAATGCCCAGATCGGGAGCGTAATACACGGGGAAGTGTAGTATGTGGAGAATCGAAAATCCATTCCTAAAAATCCGTCAGCACAAACAAACGCTTTATTAGACGAAGTAAAAAGAACCCGAAAACACCTTTATACTATTGTCACTACCGCTCGTAACCAAGACACTCTGTCCCGCCAGCCACTCAACAATAACGCCCCCACCAAGCGGCCCATCGTGAGCATTCCGCATGATCGCTGCGATTCTACGTTTTTTCAAGTTCCACAATGTGATATCGCCATCGCCATGTCCAACGGCAAGCATGTTGCCTCCAGAATCAGTTGCTACTCTTGATTTTCCTGCACCAACTGCCGGGTCAGTGCAGAATGAGATACTCGTAACTTGTTTCTGACCACAAGAAGTAGCAGCGACAATATCACCAGCAGAACCGCCTAGCGTAAACAGAGGATTATCGGTTTGTATATTGTGAAGATGAACCTCACCCGTCGAAAACCCAATAGCAAACACAGAGATAACCGGGGTTTGCACTAAAGAAGTAATTTCTAGCGGTTCTTCACCCGTGGAAGCCACCGGGGGCAGGATGGTGTAAATCTTCTTACTACAAACCACAGGATATTAGCAAAGCGCAATAGAAGATGGAAGAGACGGACCAATTCGCACCTAGTCTTCACATTCCAAATCTCAAGCACCCCACCCATCCTCGCGATCACCATCTTATTCAAATACGTGCTCGGATGCACCGCAGCTGTAATCCTGCCCCGATTATCCATCTCAATCTCGGTATAAACCTCCCGAGTTTCCCTCCTCCAGACGACCATCCCCCAATCCAAGACACCCACAACCCAATCCCCGAAAATTACCAAGTCCCGCCATTCGGTGATCTTCTTCCTCCCCTCACCTGCAACAGCCAATTCAGCGACCTTCCTTCCCCTCTTAAACACCCAAACTCTGACGAGCGGATCTTCAAAGGCGACATACACCACATCCCGATGTGCAACAGCTCGACGAATGGTCCCGGGAGTAGGCGGTGATGAGACGAATACAAGGTTCAGTCGCCGAACGTCGTAGGTTTGTATAGCATTCGAGAGTGCAGTCGTAAGCTGGAATGTCTTCCCCAGTGGCAGGATAGAAAACGGTACGGGGGGCACAGAGGTAGACGTTACGTGGCCAATTGCCTACAATACCCCATTACAAGCCATCAGTAAGAGAAATCCCCTCCTCGCGCCTAAAGCATTATAGACGAAGACCGAAGCATACCCTGAAAGGCGCGAGAATACGCGAATGGGTGGGAGGAGCGGGAGGATTCTGCGCAACTGAATCGGCTATCTTGCGCCGATGTTTGTTCAGCGTCATTGTGAAAATTAAAGATCGCCTTGGTGAGTAGCTATCGCAATAACTGATCTGCGAAGCCCTATCGTGGTTATCGTCGTTATTGTTGAATGGAGGAGGGGTGGTTGTGAGGTTCTGTTGTTGGAGCTCATCTAGTAATTATCGATCACCGGTACCGGCATGATAATATCCGAGCTTTTTTTTTTCTCTCAAGGCTGAGTGATAAGACGTGATTGTTACCCTACCGTCACTCATATGATATCATGCTTTGGATGACACCTGCACTTAGAGAGAACCCCCTCACCACCCCAGCTACAGGAAGGGCAATGGTTCACTTCCTCCCCCTCAAGCAATCTGTTAATTCGGGAGTATGATACGAGTTGATACAAAGCTCCAATTAGTCGATCTCCGTCACAAACAGGGAGGAATCAAACAGCCCACAGAGCAAATTCTTTCATCGTAAAAAACAAACAAGGGACAAAGAGATGGAAAGAATGCCACTCCCTCCCGATAAATCCCCTTTACTAAGGTGTCGTCCTCTCTCTCTACCGGTACTACCGCTCTGTTGCCCCTACTCCACAGTAACTTACTGCCTCATCCGCTAGTGTGTTGATGCCCGAGGGAGGGGCTGAAAAATTCCTCCATATCTGGATGTTCGTAAAGTGTCCGGACGTCTAGCGCCAAGACAAGTACTAATAACCCTCCCCAATCAAAAATCGACAGAAACTAGCGCTAAGTTATTATACCTATCACAGCTACAATTGTCCGGTCCCAGTCTAAGCCCTTCCACTCGCACCAAAAGACAGCGAGATTCTCCCTCACCGCACACATCATCTCTGGACATCCATGACGAGGGAAACATGGGTGTATACCGGTACCGGTACTCCTCCCGGGCCCCGCTCCTCCCGCATGGTTAGAAAACTAGGTAGTACTGTACAAATGGGGATAAGGACTATAGTAGTCCACGCCCCATGCAAGGAATTTTGATGACAAAATCAACCAGTTGGCCTAACATAGGGAGGTTTGAGACTTGCTCCGGTTACCTTCCCACGCGAGTGCTGTACCAATAATGCTACATTGGAAGCATTCAGCCCTGGGATTGGAAAACAGCCAAGCTAAGCTGTGCAAGTTTTTCAAGTTGAAGGAGTCTGGTGCGTAAGGCAGATCCACTCGGAAACTGGCACTCGAAAAACTCCTTCTCAACCTATGGTTGAACATCTCTGGTATACGAGTACCGGCGGTGTCCCTGCAGGAGGTTTGCCATGCCTTTAGTTCGCACGATGAAAAATTTTCCACAGCTACCATTCGTCTCAGTCGAACCCTCGCCACCCCTCTGGCAACATTATGAGTGCCGGTACAATGGAGCAGAATCCACAGTTCTCGAGTGCTACTTGGCTGGCGCTGCTCGGGGAGTCGCCAAGCTCCAATCAGTAAATCTCCCCCACATAGCGCATTCCCGACAGCCATCATACTGGTCTGCTGGCACTAGGTGTGATAGGGTAATGTGTGTTCCAATCGCAAGAACTGGAAGGTGTTTTTTTTCTCGATCAGTGGTCAAAATATTAGAAGTTATATCACATAGCACATTTAGGCGAACTGATGAGAACCTATCACCACTGCAGGCCCTCGAGCCTGCGCAGAAATTGTTGCAACAAGGATTTACGAGTGACAACCCATGTCTAACCCCAGAAACTCCTTAATTGAACAAACCTCTTGTAAAAACTCTTGTAAAAAGTCTCATGTGCTCATAATAATAATAACAGATGGATTGGCGTCGATTATAACCAACAAAATGCAAGAAATCCAAATCTTCAAAAGAAAAATCCCAACCGTAACTTATGATACAGCCAAGCTTTATCATAAGTTATGTAAGAATGGCTTAAAATAAATGATTGAGCCGCACAGGTTACGATAAGTGGGAAATAGGGATGGTAAGTTAGTCTAAGGCTCGAGTCCCAACCGCATATGACAGCCAGCTCGCCAGCTGTCCTTCAATAAGTCCAATCCCCCCCCCACCTCAACCCTTTCTCCCCCGGAAGAAAAAAAAAAACATCGTGCGAAGTGGGAAACATGATGGATTCTCTCGAGTTTTGGGGAACTCCTCTACTTTTTGTTTCGCTTTCGTTTTCCTTGCTCTTGCTGTGCTTACCGAGTAGGCATGTTCCACCTGGGAGGGGCGAGAAGCCACGAATTGTGGTTTTAGTACTTGGGGATATTGGACGGAGTCCTCGTATGCAATATCATGCTTTATCAATTGCGCGGAAAGGTGGATTGGTGGAATTGGTTGGATACGACGGTATCATGAGCTTCCGTCCGAATCTATCCACCGTGTGCTGAAAGGAGCTTAGAATCCGCTCCGAGACCTGAGCTCACGGATAATCCGAATATCAAAATGTGCCCGTTGCCCCCGCCTCCAGGCTTCCTCAGAACCGATACCCCAATTCGATTCATTTTGTTTGCTCCTTTGAAGGCACTTTTCCAGCTTACGTCTATGCTCTACTTGCTCTGCTACATCATCCCACCATCGACTGGATACATTCTGCTCCAGAACCCACCGGCGATACCTACGCTAGCTGTAACAAAACTTGTCGGAGCTCTACGGGGGATGAAAACTGTTATTGACTGGCATAACTTTGGTTGGAGCGTCTTACAGCTCAAACTCAAGGAGCACCCGATAGTCTACTTTTGCAAAATTTATGAGATGTTTATCGGAAGGGGCGCGTATGCAAACTTTACGGTAACAGACCGTATGGGCCTGACTTTGAAGAACGATTGGGGAGTCAAGTACCACCTCCCACCCCTCTCTCTAGCCAAATTCCAGAAAAGGGAAAAAAGAGCTGAGCTGACAGTCCCAGAACCCCCATCAAAACCCTGTACGATAGACCACCAACCCACTTCACCCCACTCTCACCCGAAGAGCGCAATAAATTCCTAGAATCACACCCGGCAACTGCCCGCCATGCATCTGCAATAGCCTCGGGCTCAACCCGCCTCTTAATCTCCAGCACCTCCTGGACTCCAGACGAAGACTTTAGTCACCTCCTTGGGGCTCTACTGATTTACGACCGATGGGCGTCCGGCGTCAATTTCCTAAAGCCCGGATCTGCGCCTTCAATCCTTGCGGTCATCACTGGAAAGGGACAACTTCGTGACCAGTATATGGCTCGTGTAGAGACACTTGAATTCCAGCACGTTACCATTGAGAGTGTATGGCTTGAATCTGAAGATTATCCTAAGATGGTTGGATGTGCGGACTTGGGCGTTAGTTTGCACACCAGCACGTCTGGGGTGGATCTTCCGATGAAGGTGGTCGACTTGTTTGGCGTGGGGGTTCCCGTCGCAGCATTTGAATACTTGGCTATTAGTGAGCTTGTGAAGGATAGGGTTAATGGAATTGTGTTCAAGACCGGGGAGGAGTTGGGTAATGCACTTGTTGTAAGTCGCACTTTCTCTTTTGGCCATGAGAGTCGCTAACGGGAGTAGAATTTGTTCAATCCTGCGTCGCAACAGTTGAAGAAGTTGAGGGAGGGGGCTCTGGCGGAGACTGAGAATCGCTGGGATGAGAATTGGGATAAAGTTGCCGCGCCGGTGTTTGGGCTTTGAACTTGAGGGTTTCTCTTTCTTGGGTCATTTGGGTTAGGCACGCGTGGGAGTTGAGTGCGTTTAAACCTAGCGAGGATAGATCACCAAATATTCAGGGAGTTTTGCTTTCTTTCTTTCTTTGGCCTTCTTTCTCGCTTTGGCTCCCTTTCCCCCAAACAATTTTCTCAAGAGTGCATATACCACTCTGCCCGCGAGAACTTGTTTGTCTAATGCTATCACAGGCCGCAAGTACAAATTCAACTAGAGGTATACCCACCCCCCCATTACTGTAGAGTTTAAAAATGACAACGCCAATCCCACTTTTCGTACACTTTTCGTACACTTTCGTTCACCCCCAGAACCCCCAGAACCCCCAGATTGCCGCTACATGCAAAGACGATAACTAGCATAGCGCCCACTAGTCTCACTCTTCCTAACAATCTTAACCACATGCCCCCTCTTAAGCCCATAATACCTAGCAACCGGGTCCGCCCCCTGAATCCTCGGCAGCTGACTCTCCTTGAGCCTATACCTCTCGAGCAACTTCTTCTTCTCCTCCCTGCTGAGGAGGATATGGCGAGGAACTAACTCGTGCTTGGTAATGTTGACCAGCAAGTCGCTCTCCAGAAAGACCTCGATAACGCTCGGCAGCACGGTGGGGACGATCTTCATGGCGGCAGGAGTGGGGTGGCTCGAGCAGATGAAGATGCCAGTGTGGAAATTCTCGCTGTTGATGGTGTGCGCGAAGGCGCGCATGTGCTTGATTCCAATGTTGCTTTCCGCGCTGAATTCCACCCACAGGGTGCCGACGGTTGCAGGCTGATTGGGGGCTGGGGCGTGCTGCTTGATCATGCTAGGGCTGGGGTTGGCCTTGAAGGTGAGGTTTTTGCGGCTGTGAGGGAGGTTTTAGTGTTTTATTCTTTATGTCTGTCTGTCTATTAAGGGGATGGAAGGGCTACATTGGACGACCTTCGCCATCGCAGTACTGGTGGCGGAACTCTTCGAGGGTTATTGTGATTTCTTCTTCGGAGATTTCATATCCCTAGATGCGGTAGTAGGTACTGTGTTAGTCCGATTCATTTGTCTGTTCTACTGTGGCTTTGGTGAGAGGAGGGGAGGCGTACTCTATCTTTGGCCATTTCGTGAACAGTTCTCCAGGCACGCCAAAGGCGTGAACTTTCTCTTTCGGGATCCATGTTTTAGCGGTGGAAATGCTTGTAGTAGGTTTGTGGTTGGGGGTATGTGGGGGAGGGAGGGAGTGAGTAGTGGTTGATAGAAGGGGGAGAAAGAAGGCGACGAAGGTTTATCCGCACAGGTTCGGTTCTATACGTCTCATATTCGAGTATGACAGCTTTGCCCTTGCCTTTCCTTGAGCCTCTTTCCCCGTCAAATTAAGTGACCGCACCTGCAACCCTCAGGCTTAAATTTACCCTATCCAATAGAACATCTCATCCCACGGAATTTCCAGATTTCGAAAGAGAAAGAAAAGGTTCAATCATTCACGACCACCGAGGCTAAACGTCATTTCAAGCACCACCACTACAATGGGTTCCGGCAACAGCAAACCCGCCGAACGTGTTTTCGATGGGTAAAAAACACAGAATCCCCTACGATCCTCTCCAGTGAAGGAAGGAAATTGGAAATTAACAAATAAAAGAGAGGGTGGCTAATTCAAAATGATACAAACAGCAGCGAAACTCCGGTGCGTTTCTCCAACAACCTCGTCGAGTCGCTACAACTCTCTAGCGAGGTTTTTCTTTTCCCTCCTATCCTACCGCATTGCCCCCTCAATACAGTTATTCGACAACGAACTAACACAATCCTACCCGGGCGTAAACAATCAGACAAACAGCACCCGGGAAAAGTCGTTAGAAATCCAGGTCCAATCCCGCGTTGAGAGCGAATTGCAGCGTCTGCATTCGCGGGAGTCCCAGATTCTGGTTGATCTGGAGAGTAGGCTCTCCGAGAGCGATAAGGATGGGGATACGAAGGGGTTAAGTAGGGAGCAGGTGCAGGCCGAGATCGATGCGCTGAAAGAGAGGTTGGAGCGCATGCCTAGGATGATCAAAATTGATGGCGAGGTGGAGAGGGCGAGGGGGGAGGTTGTCAAGTGCTTGAGATTGAAGTGAGTTAAGCTTTCTCATCTCCAAAGGATGGGGCTGTGGGGGATCGGGGTGGGGGCGGGGTGGTGTAATGGAAGGGGAGATATGGCAGAGGGGATGGGGGTGGTAGGCTAATGGAGTGCGATAGTGATCGGACACCGTTAGATTGTTACAAAGAAGTGGAGGAGTTCAAAAACCAGACTAGACGGATGGAAAAAGAATTCGTTGTCCGGACCGTGGGAAGGGACTACCCGTGAAAGGGAGCTGATTGGTTTAGGGAGGGATTTTTTGCAACTACGGTAGATCTGGTGATGGGATAGTTTAGGTTGTTAGTGGGCGCCTGCATTATTGGTTTTGCTCATAGGATGGTATCTCTATTTGGTACTAGAAGCTATGATACCTCCCTCAAGGCCCACCTGGAGGATAAAATAAATGGATAGATTTCGGATGTCAATTCCGTTTCGGCGGTGCAAGAGTGAGCTTTGTTAGTCGTTTGATTGTTTCAAGGGTCAAATGGCCCTGCTCTCAATATCATAGTTCCACCTCGCAATAGGAGCCCTCATTTTACCCTCCGAAATATCTTGGTTCGAGGGCGGCAATTCTAGCAAACTCACGAGAGCGGAGGGCACGGCTGGGTGCAAAGTCGACTCGTAATATGGCTTGGATCATAATGAACCCAGCACTGCAAGTTGATGTAACAGCCAAGTCTTAGGGAGTGAATCCCATGTTCCTGAAGTACTCCGGAAAACAGATGAGACCTCAGTTTTACGAAAACAAGTCCCTTGGTCTACAGTACATTGCCTGTCCCGCATATTTATCGGGCGAAGAGTCCTTGGGGGAGAAAAAAGGAACGAAAAGAAAGAAATCCTGGACGAAAGTCGCTGCTAAATAAGACCCCGGTCCGGGGTTCATTGCGGGGCCAGGGAAATGAGGTCATGGCGGATCACTCGAGGGAATGATGAAAGACTTGTGTCTGGCCTATTTGGTTATCACAAGGTAGTTGGCTAGTTCGAATAGTGAAGCGAGTCTGTCTGTTTGTCTGTCTCCGCATGAAACAAAAAAAAAAAAGGAAGGGAAAAAAAGGAAAAACTCGAGATCAAGTGTCCTCCTTTTATTAAGGCTTTCGAACCGGTTGGTCAAAGTGGTGTTAGACTAAAAGCTTTTACAACCAAGCTTTTTAGCGCTTTTAGTACCGTGGGTGCTGTACTCAAATACGGGTATTATACGAGTACCGGTACTAGTACAGTACTCGTACAGTATTATATAGTACTTGCACAGTGCCCGAACATAGGAATTTCGCAAATGAACGGTCAATTGTCTGCGCGCGTCAGTGGTGTATTATAGTACGGTGCCGGTAGTATGGGAAACAATGAATAAACGGGAGGGGGTCCCCGTCTGTTTGTTGCCCATACTCGCACAGAATTCGAAGTCAGATGTACAGTACTCGTACTCTAGTACGGTATTAGCTCCCTGTGAAGAGTGCGAAGGAAAATGCGCCGGGAACGTTGCAATCACTCCCCCCCCGTATAGTACTAAGGTGCTGTGCATTTTTTTTTCTTTTGGCCTCCAACTGAGGGACGATGAGTTTCCGGTGATCTCTCCACCCCTATTCCTTCCAGAGGGGGAATTTCAACGTCCTCGCGCATTTCCCTCGCGTTTTGGTTGGCGATATTGCGGTTGGTACAGAGAAGTTAGGGTGCGTGCTAGTCTGCGTCACGAAGGTTCAGTAGCGAGGGGATGAAGCGGTCAACAGATATTTCTCGCTTACTACATTGGCCACAGTACTAGTACTCGTATATGCTGGCAAAATGGTCCTTGGCGCCGGGACATGAGAGGTGGTGGGAAGAGTGGTGCAAGTTATTACGAGAAATCTTGGATGGATTTGGATCCCGTCATACTGGTTTGTTTAGATGTCTTCGGAGGCTATGTTCAAGTGGTTTATCATATGCGATACTTCGGGTTGGCTGGATTGGGATACGAGGAGATTTTCCAGCGATTCTGGACAGGGCGCGGCCAAAGTGGAGAAAGGGAATTGAGGGATGTGTGGCTCATCTGGTTCGTGGGCCTTTGCCGGGGTTGTAAGAGATATAATAAGTCAAGTGTACGAAGGGTGTGGTACTAATGTATTGTACAGTACTACGGTAGTACGAGTACATTTTTCCCCTCTCTCCAGTAACCCGGATTGTGGGAGACATTGATTGATAGAGTGTATTGATGCTTAGGCGGCACTTTTTTTAAAAAAAACCCCCCGCTTGCTGGGTATCGTATACCGGTATCCTTCCTACGAGCACTGAAGCTATTTCCGATTGGGTTGCTACTGACCCCCTTGAGGTTGGTCAGGAGTTGGGTAAGCTAAGCGTACAGCATATATACTTGTACCGCGGTTAGCTTCCTCATAATGGTGGAGTTCTCCCCGATTCCACTTTTGCTCTTTTGTGAAATTTTGGGATAGAGTTTGACATCCAAAGCTTGAGAAGAGATGCTGAGGAATCCCGGGATTCCATTGGCATAAATTGGCCAGTAAGGCACACCTGTGGAAAATGATATACTGATACGGCACCGGCACCGGCATCCTACTGGTACGTGGGGGGAGATTAAGTACCGCCCAGTACTCGAGTATCTGCAGTCGTATCCCTCTGCGTGCTAGGAATGTTCAAGGTCGTATCGTAATGTTACCGGTATGCTGGATCATGAACACTCACTGACTGCGAGAAGAAGAAAGAGCAGCACCCTACCTTCTAGGGTTGGGCATACTGTACCGCAAGAGCCACAGCATCTCACGCCAAATTTGGTGCTGAAAAAGAGAAGGCATCAAAGGGGAAGGGGGGAGAAAAGAATTTCATACCCATGATCCATGGAACAACTTCGACCTCATCCTTCCAAGCACTCACCCATATAATAGGCAAAAAAGACTTTTGGCGAAATGCGGTGCGACGCCCTGAATCCGGTACCAGTACCGGTACCTGAGCCCTGATTTTCTCCCATGTCTAAGAGATATGTGACGACCCATGTCCAATGCCTCAGACAATATAAGTACGGGTTGAGATCCTCTAAACTATATTCTCACTTCCAGCCGGCCAGCATAGTTTCTCCTCGCGGTCACTGCTGTAGCGTTCCTTTGGCGCGGTTGGGTGTTTACCACCATTCACTCCTTTCTACCATAGTTATATCTTCTACATCACTTCTTCACACTCATTTTTCGAAGTTTTGTTTAAACACAGGATGTTTTCTTCAATGCTCTTCTCCACTTTCTGCCTCGCCTCAGCGCTCCTGAGCATCGTGCACGCAGCTGCACTTCCTGTCTGTGGAGCCCGGCAGGAACCGGCCATTTCAAAAGCCGGGAAAACAGTAGCATATTTCGGCCAGAGTCAGTCTCAGTCTACAGATTCCCTCGCAAAGTTCTGCGCCGATACGTCTGTGGATATCATCGTGCTTGCCTTTGTCAATGTCATCAAGGGGCGAAGGGGACTTCCCGGCTTGAACCTTTCCGGGTACTGCTGGGACCCAATTGATGGGACGGACTTGCATCGCTGTCCCGAGTTTGGCACCGCGATCAAAGATTGCCAGGCACGGGGGAAATTGGTGCTCATGAGCTTGCAGGGAGCTTCGGGGATGCAGACGTTGGCTGATGATGCCGCGGCGTGTGAGTACGCGGATAATCTTTGGAGGCTCTTTGGGGAAGGCACAGGACTAGAGTCCATGAGACCGTTTGGCGATGCTAGGGTCGACGGCTTTGATATTGGTATATTCCTCTCCTCCCCCACCCCCCACCCCCACCACATAACGGAGGGACCCATTATTAACCGCCACAAAAACGTCAGACAACGAAAACAACAACTCGAACGGCTGGCCGAAGTTCATCTCCGAGCTCCGCAACAAGTTCGCCTCCGCTTCCAAAAAGTACTACATCTCCGCCGCGCCCCAGTGTGTGCGCCCCGACAAGTCGATCGGTAGCGCGATCTACCTCGTCGACTACCTCTTCATCCAGTTCTATAACAACTACTGCGCGACCACCGGCCTCGTATCCTGCTTCAACAACTGGTCCGAGGATATCGCTGCCAACGGCATCGCTGGAGCGAAGGTATTCGCCGGCTTCCTCGGTGCCCCAGATAAGGGACAGGGCTACGCTGCACACTCCGAAATGATTGGCTATGTCAGCCAGATCAGGAGCAAGTCCAACTTTGGCGGTGTCTCGGTGTGGGATGCTACGTGTGCTAATAATAATGTGGACGCGGACGGGAGGACATTCTTGAAAGCTATGAGGGATTCTTTGCAGTAATCTTTTCTATTCTTCGCCATTTGTATATGTTTAGAAATGGGGGTGGGGAGTTATCTAAAGAGTACGATGATTAGCAGGATAATGCCTATGGTAGTCCTAAAGCGAGTCCGATTGACTGACCGACCTATGCTTTTAATAATAGATGAAGAGGAGTTACTGGCCTGATGGTGCGATTCCGAGCGCAAGACCTGCTGCTATGCGCCATTAGAGGACCGACAATGGTACCTTCCCAACCCTTATACCACCCAAGACTCATAAACATGCCTCCGGTTTTCAGACTCGGCGCACAAATCGCCAGATACTCTAGAACCAGCAGGCGCGGCACCATTCCCTGCTAGTAAAAAAAGGGGGGGGGGGGAGGGAAAAGAAAAAAACCAAAGCTCTCTATATAGTTCACACATCATCACTCGCAGCAAGAAATCGTTAGAATGGATACCTGGGTAAATAACTCACCTCTAGTCACCCCGGCGCGAGCACAGTTCACCGGGGCACAGCAGAACCACACCAGGAAGAAAAAGAAAAAAATAAGAAAGAAAACACTAGTGATCAGAGTCCACTGCTAACCCCTAATGAATTTCCGCGAGGTCATACACTCAATGTGTAGGAGGAATTGGCAACGGTACTCACCACCCACCAGGACGGACAGACAGACAGAAACCGGGTGACCACTATCATAGCTGCATGTAGCTTGGAGATCCGGGTAAGTTCGTCTGAGACGTTTATCGACAACAAGTAACTGTGAACGGGGAGAAGAAAAGCTCGTTCTGTCGTACTGTGGCGAGATCTGACACGGCTAACCGATCGATCATTCGCTTATTCATTCATTCATTCATCCATTCGCAAAGTTACCAATTGTAAATGATACTTCTATTTCTGCGTTGGGGGGGGAGGATACGGCCAGCTTGAAAATCAAAACATAAATTTAATCCGTCGGCCGCACGTCCCCACATATTCCTACATGCTATAGTGGTAGTTTAATACTGAGCTTGTTCATTCACTGATTTATCTGTTCGGATCCGCAGCATAATAAGATCAGGTCTCTACACGTAATCTGCTATGTCGGGTAACAGGAACACCAACTTCAAGTTCGCACAATTTTTTATTGTTTTATCCTACGTATAGCATACATTTTTGTTATAAAAATAGTCACGGCACAATACGTTCTAGTGCAGTGTAAAAGGAAAAAGAAAAAAAGAGGATCTCACTGGAAGTTCGCCTCCACGAGTGATGACGCATGAACGATAGAGTGCCCATCTCATCACTCGCTAGCTCTGAAATCAGAAACAATACGGCACGCGATTAGCAGGGCTCTGGCTTTGTAAGGAAGAAACGATAGCAAAAGCCCGCGAAATAATTTCAAGTAATTTAAATTTTCTCAGAACTATACATGACTTTAGGGGGCAAACCCCCGAAGTGGAAGAAAATAGAGAAAACAGTAAATGAAACAAGAAGGAAGATTGTAAGTCGACCATCAACCTCTAAAGGAAGCCGGGAATTAAGAGGGGGGGTGAAAGGAAAAGGGACAGACAAAAAAACAAAACAAGGTAAAAAATCCATTTATTGTCCACCAGCAAAGTTTAAAACGTGGAAGAAAAAAAGGCATGGAGGAAAAAAAAAAGTTTTTTTTTTGGCTGAAAATGATGGTGATGAGGATGATCGAGATGAAGAAAAAAAGAAGTGGAAGAAGAAAAGAGAAAGAAGCCAGCACGCCGTACTCCGTATTTCCACACCCTTGAACAACACCAGAAAACCCATTCAGCCGATTCCCGACCCGTCAGGCCATCCGGCCAAACTGCTCGCCCCGCTCAAAACACGATACAACTTCCGTCACGGCCTCGTTGTAGGCTGTCACTAGAACCCATTATGAGTAAGTCTCTGAGATGTTTCGCAAAAAAGAATGTATGCTCCCGTCCCTCTCAGGCTCCCGCGATGTTCGTGAAATCGGCCTTCATAAGTCGTAAAGGTAAAAGAGGGTCGAGCAAAGAGAAAAGGAGAGAAAGAAAGAAAAAGAAAAAAGAGTACAGGAGGGGGGGGGTATTTTAGCCCCATTAAGTGGTAGGGTGGTTTTTTTTTTATACAAACGGATGGCTACCGTTCTATACAAAGGAGTGCTATGCCTCCATTCTTTTCCTTTCCAGGCTTTCCAGGCTTTCCCAGCTATTCTCCAAGGGCCTTGAAGTCTGAAGGGCGGATTCGTTTGGGTCGGGAATGTCTGTGCGGGTTGACCGGTTTTCTCATATAAGGACTGTCCTCCTCACTTGGGAAGGGCTCACTGAAGACGGTCTTCTGTTGGTTGGGGAAGTACCCGAACTTAGCGCGTGGATCACCCGGAGGATGCTGGTGCTGATGCTGGAACTGCTGGGCGAAGGACGTGTTGATCATTGGATTTCCACCGTGTCCGTTGCTAACATTCATGGCCGCCCCGCCGCCGCCACCACCGTTCATCCCCATATGGTATGGGTTGTGAGGACCCATCCCACCCATACCGCCACCCATACCACCGCCCATACCACCGCCCATACCACCGCCCATACCACCGCCCATACCACCGCCCATCATGCCGTTCATACCCATTCCGCCCATCCCCACCATCCCGTTGGGAACATAGTGACCGTTCTGAGGATAGTAATTGCCGTTCATAGCGTTCATGTTGTCCATGCCGTTCATGCCACTAGGATACTGGTTGAAGGCCTGGAATTGATACGGAGGCAAGGGAGTTGGTTGATGAGTATTTTGATTTGGGAACTGGTGATGGAAAACCTGTTGGGGATTGAACATCCGGCCATTGTTATTATATCCACCACTCTGCTGTTGAAGGGGTTGCATTGGATGGGGCGGTGGCTGCTGGGGCTGAGGGTTATTATTATTTCTCATGGCCGCCGGGCCACGGGGGATTCTAGGCTCGAACTCTTCATCTGCTTGTCTCTTTCTCGGATTAGGGCCAAAATTCCCAGCCATAGAACCATGAACAGACGGGGGTGCTCTCCCATGGGAGGGCGCAGCAGAGGGTGTCCCGTCGCCGCGTTGGGAGGCACTAGGTTCCTTTGCTTTACCAGCAGAAGATGATACAGAAGGGCTCTTGGATTTCTCTCTCTCTTTCAGGTCCTTTTCCTTGGCATCCCTTTCCTTTAGGTATTCCTCTACCTTCTTTCTGATATCTTCATCAGGCACAATGGCATCCAGGAGGATTTCCTTTGCATCACAATTCGGGCAGACAAAGTCGGTCTCCAGCAATGTAGTGTGAATACAATCTTCGCAGTACACTTTCCCGCAGCACGGGGTCTTTGATGCATCACGCAGAAGTTTATGACAGATTAGACACTCGATTCCTTTATCCTGCAACTCCTTACTACCAACTGGTGCTGCAACCTTTGAATTAGTTGCCGCCTTCTTCTGGTAAGACTCCCATGAGGCCTGATCAGGCTGAGCGACAACATATTCGCCATCAGCATTTACCATGACCGAGGTCGGGTTAGAGTGAGCAGTGGTATTATCATCATCCCCGGATGGGGGAAGCGGCTTCTCAACTGTCTTGAGGAAACTACGGGGAATACCAGTCGTACGCTTAACGCGAGGGCGTCCGTCAAAAGTGGGATCAGCATTTGTGGGACACTGTTGAATCCAATGACCTGCCTTCGTCAGTACAATACGCCCTAAAAGCGGAGTTAATCATATCTCACCTTTCTCGCCGCAACGATAACAAATATACCCATTTGGTGGTGGGTGTCCTGGAGCTGGTGCATTGTTCTTTTTGAAACCCTGGCTTCCACGATGAATGGGAGTAGCACTGCGAAAAATCACACCTCGGTTAGTATCTCTAGATGCACATGGCAACAAATTGTCTATCATATTCAAGCTATATACGCACTTTGCCATCTGCTCCTGGGTTTTATTCCACTGCTCACTAGAAGCTTGAAACATCGCTGCAATCTTTTCCTCTTCAGATTCTCCTCCGGTTAAAACGGGAGCACTGCTCGTAGGCTGAGGACTCCCATTCTTTTTAACAACCGAGCCACCATTTCCAAAGTTCTTCTCTCTGCGCCCAGCATTAGGAAGAGCATTCACGGGCGCCTTTCCACTGACATAGCGTTGGGCAGTTCCACGCCCTGGCTTGCTGGGGGGGAGACGGGCAGCAATGATAGATGTAGAACGGGGAATTATAGTAGTATCATCGTCATATTCTATTTACCGTGGTTAAAAAACGTGCCGCCGACATTTTGAGATGGAGTTTGAACCATACCTTCATTTGTATCGGCATTATAAATTGAGAAATCAAAGTCGGTGCCATCCCCAAGACGGTTGAGAACGATAATCTGTCTCTTCAATTCAAAAACCGAAATGCCAGTACCGTCAAAAGTTACTCGTGTTGACTCCTTGTGAGACTTGAATCTGAAAAATACAGAGGAGGACATCGCCGCGATTCCAGATCCTCTGTTGGAGAGAAAACGGCGTAAAAAGATGAAAAGGAGGATAAAAGCGAGCTAAAGTTTTTCCCAGTGTTGATAGTGACCCGGTTGTATCGAGCGTCACAATGAATCTAGGCGACGGTTTAAGAGAATAGGATTATTCGCTTTTTTTTTTTTTTGTTTGGTACGATTGAAGAGTAAAAAATGTTGGTTGGAATTATACCAGTTTGTTGCGAGGGAGGGACGATGGGGTAAGGAAAAAAGAGAAATGGGTTAAAACTGTTGTGACGAGGAAAATGTTCAGGGTACCGTCAAACACCCAGCAACTGCCCTTAGCCTAATAGAATATTTCTCTTTTTTCTCTTGCTTTTCCTTCTCGTTAAGATTCTCTCTTTGATTTGGGGAAACAGATAATTATATGTTCGAGCCGAACAGTACAGGCCTAGGGCTTGACAAGAAGTAACAAGTCGGAAGGGAAAAGAAAAAGGAGAAATCAAGGAAATGAGTAAATGACAAGATGAGTGTAAAAGTAGTTTTCCTCAGCGGAAACAAAGTGTGCTGTACAAAGAGTCTGGAGATGAAAAAAAATTCGTCTCGCGTTCTGACTTCTCAAACCATGCAAGAGCGGTGCTAGATCTCTCTTTTAAGGGCAAGCACTGAACGAACCTGAAACAGCGTGGCAAGACAGCAGGCGAGTGAGGGAGTGCCGGTATCGCCACGAGATGTGTCGGAAGCGAGACGAGGCGACAAGAATCGTAAAGGCTGTGAATTTGACGGTTTGTTGTTGAGGCAGACTGAGAGGTGAAGCTGGGGGAGAACTTGACGTCAGTTACTGGAAAGAAGGTCAGTCCAGAGAAGTTTGCGGATGGGGATGGTGGTGTTGTGCTGTTGGAGGGAGAGATGATGGAAGTGTGAGGGAAGCGTGAAGGAACAAGAGAGGTGGAGACCCCTTAGGCTTTTACGTAGAAGCCGCATATGCTAAGCGACCAAACGACATCCGATTGGACGTGGGGTAAGATTTGTCATCTATTTGTCATCTTATCCACAATGTTTTTCCAGAAATTTATGTCTTGGCAATTCTATTAAATTTTAGTAATCCAGACAAAAGGTGCCTTGGCTAACCGGACCCAGCCCAGTGGGCAATAGGGCATTTAGAAGCGCTCAAGGTTTAGCACGCGGTAGTCAAACTGATCACCCTGCTCTCCCTATCAAACTTCACCTTTGTTTAGCCAAGGAGAATTTCTAACCTCCTCTTCCTATTTTCCCTTCCTAATTCTCAACCGCCTTGCTACTCTCTCGACTTAAGATCGTTTATATCTTAATATCATCCCTCATATTTTTTCCCATGTCGGCAACTGGTTCTCAGCGCGAGGCCTACCAGCCCCCAGCAGCTGGCTCTTCAGGCATGGGTCGTTCCTACGTCCCGGCCCCAGCAGGCACCATGTTTTATCTATGCGCCGAGTGTGGTGTCAAAGTTGGCATCAATAAAGGAGAGCCCATTCGCTGTAAAGAATGTGGCCACCGTATCCTCTACAAGCAAAGAACTACACGGTACTTAAAATCAAAATCCGCTATTCCGGGATGATTGCTCTAACCCCAGTTATCCTGAGTCTAGTATGGTACAATTCGAGGCTCGCTAAACGCAGCTCACCCACTCATACTTCTAAATACATGAGTGACCTGACAAATTGGCGAGGCGGGAGGGATTGGGGAGATATGTGATTTCTGGGTTTTGTTTTTGGGAGAGGTTTTTTATTGTCGGCGTTATTCTTTCTAGATGATTTGTTATAATCGGCTGTGGCTGCGTGTTGAATTTTCACCAATCGTGGACTTTCTAAAGAAAATTGATGAACCCAGTTGTGAGCATGGTAGTTCGGCCCACCCATTCGGCACAGCACGGTGCTCCAAAGGTATCTGTGGAAGCCTTAACCATGAAATGCCATCTTCAGCAGGCAGCTTTGTCGGAAGTATCGGTACTGGACCAACAAACAGAGAATACCGGTATTTGTGGCTATCTATATGTCCCATCAATTACGTGCATTCTCTTCCTCAACAAGCACTCCTTCCCTTCTCCGTGACCTGTCCCTTCTAGTGCTTCTTTCTCCAGTTCCAACAGCCTTCCGGGGCCATCCCCGGGCAATGTCAATGTTACTCCTAGGGAACAAGAACTCTAGCAACTATCCAGTCTATCAGCAAACAATCAGGATATTTAGCATGGCGGGAACAACATACCACCCATATCAGATAATCCACAACCACGCATAAAACAAACAGCTTTCCAGCCCAAACGCCGCAACCGTAGTATCTCTTTAGCCTCTCCATAAGACCCACCCTTTCGCCCCTGCATATGCCCTCATATACTCGTTCCGTTCTCTCCGCCACATCCGTCCACGAGTACATACTTTTAACCTGCTCATGAAATTTGTCTGTTCTTACCCTTCCCATTCTGATTTCCTTAATTGCCCGGCTAGTGGCGTTGACCAAGTCGTCCTCCTCGGGTCTTGCAAAAACGGTCATATGACTTGGGAGGACCTCGGGAATACCCCCCACACGAGTACATACAACATAGAGTCCACAACTAGCAGCCTCAACCAGCACAGTGCCAAATGCCTCTGTTAATGAGGGGTGTAGATATATGTGGCCACGAACCATGACATCCCTGACCTCTTCATGCCGCACTGGCCCAACCATGGATACCCGGTCTTGGAGCATGTGTTCCTCTAGCATCTGTTCAAGATCAATCGCTTTTGGGCCTGAACCAGCAATGATAAAATGGACAGATGGATGAAGTTCACATATTCGAGGTATCGCAGCAACAAGGAGATCTGTGCCCTTGTTGTAGAAGAGGCGTGATATGACAACTATGGTGATGTGTGTTTTAGAAGCAGCATTTGGATCAGGTTGAAAGTTCTCAGCGACCACAGCGTTGGGTATCACAGAAACCATAGAAGGATCAAGCGCAGCGCGAAGGACGGTATTCTCCTTGCTAATGGAGATTAACAGAAGGCTAGCCACAAGAAGATCTTCCCACTCTGGGGGACTTACCAGGTATGGCTCACACAAATGACGTGATCAACATCACTCAATGTGAACTTCAAGAGTTTATTCGCTAAGATACTTCCCGCATCGGAGAATCCAAACAAACTGTGATCTGTGAAGCAGGTCCTTAAACCCATTGTTCTTGCATGCAAAATAGCTTCATGACATAAGCTACTCATGGAAGCATGTCCGTGGACGATCTCGATATTCTCTCGAATGATGATATTGCGGAATATAGGGAAAAAGGAGAAGACAGTTGGGAATGTGGACTCTCGGTATATGACGAAGAATGGGACGTAGTAGACCTTAAGGCCATTGGTGAGGTAGCGCACACCGTGACGGGTTTGATAGGAGTGGGTTATTATTATTACTTTGTGGCCGCGGTCCCGGAGTTTCTGGAGGGGGCATGGAGGTTAGATGTGGAGAAGGACGCAGGAGCAGCAGTAAGGGGGTCGGACAGTAGCCAGCTGATAGATGTGACTTTCGACTCCACCTGTGCAGGGAGAAAGTATCAGAAAGGTCGGAATCGATGTTGGCGCTAGGGACGGACACCCACGTACCAGGCTGCGGATAGAAGAAGTCACTTGTCATTCTGGTTCAGGGGAAAGTTAGAATCTCAATGCCTTATGGATGGAGGGGGGGCTCGCAAATGCACGAGTACATACGCTATATTGTAAGGCATGCTGAAAATACCAGAATTCTCATGAAGATAGAGTAGTATTGCCGAGGTTGTTGGGTCTGGGGTTTGAAATACCGTTCGTATATCACATCATAGCATGCAGGAGAGCTCTCTGCCATGCCTTTTTTTTTGCTTAGCCCACCACACTCGAGTAGTCTGTGAGTTACGTGCCGGGCGGCACCCGTACCATATGTATCATAACACACGGTTAGCCGCTAAGACCATACTCGAGCACAGTGAAGCTACTGTACGGTACTGTACCGGTATCAGTGCTACAGTACTAGCCGATTTTTAAAGTCTCCGGAATGTAGGTGACTCGCCAAGTCAAACCAAAATACAACTTATACATGAGTCACCTAGACCGTTCGTACCAGAAGAATATGAGGCCATCAAAGCCTCTACTGACCATAAAGATAATTGTATTAAGTAAATAAATTGGTACTTCCAAGTATATCTCAGCCTAGTACAGTATATTCTTTATATTAATTAATGATAATTGCCACTAAGATCGTTCCACTTAGCATCCTATCAGCCTGCACTGAGTTAAGCATGATATTTATTTCCTCCATATACATTGATACATTTACTCATAATACTAGGTAGTTTAGCTACTTCCTTATTGATTTCATCAATTGATATCCTATCCCATTCCTCCTGAAGAACTTGTTTCATTTGTTGTTAAGAGGTGATACGTTCATGGCCCCGGCAGGTTTGAATTTGACTTTTCATTAAAATCCAGATATGCTCAATAGGGTTGAAATCGGGAGAATTAGGTGGCCAATCAAGCTTCTGAATCCCTTTCTTTACCCATTGTCCATTAGTAAAAATAGAGTTATGTGCTGGTGCATTATTCTCCATGAGTACAAAGTTTGCATTCTGTTGTATCTGCTCTCGGCATGCTGGCCAGAGGAGTGGGCGTGCCACACACTTCACATAATGCCAAGAATCAACTCCCTTTCCTTCTCCGCGCCTGTATTTATCGAGTTTGAATTTTTTACCCCGATGAGTTTGTGGAACTCGCTACTTTGGTGTATTGTGATATTTTTCAGCATAGCGTTGAGTGCTGAAAGCTGTCAGCTCCAAGGCCCGAAGCTGTTCCCACTCTTCTGATGCTTTCCATTCCTCATTCAATTTTTTTTCTTCCATAGCTCGTCCTTCCTCCAATAAGGTAATAGCTAAAAGAGCCTCCTCTTTTTCCTCCACAGTCTCCACCTCCCAAACATAATAAAGACCCTTCCATCCCCATCCTATCATTCCCCAACACATCACACTCTCTCCCTGCTTCTTGACACAACCGACACAGTCATCATGCCACTTTTCTGATTCATCACACCAAACAAGATTTATTCCAAAAAGACCGCCAACCTCAATTGACATCTCTTCAGTGAATCCATAATCTTTCCATTCTTCCATGCTCCAGTCCTTTCTCTCTAAGCAGTATCTGAGTCTTACAACTTTGTTTTCAGTCTTTAAAATAAACTTAAACAGCTCCTTATAGACTTTAATACCACGGGACCGTAGAGCTTTCTATACCATAGTATCACTGACATGTGATAACCCAGCTTCTCTCCGAATATCGACAAGGCACATCCGTCGAGTATGAAAATCCCACTTTACCGTAGAAATAAGGTAATCAATTTCCGTAGTTGTTAAAACTTTTGGTCGTCCGGAGCGTGATTTCTTATCCAAACAGTCTTTTGATAACAGTTCAAGCAGTGAAATATTATTCTTATTGTATATCTGAGTACCTGCTGGCATATTCTGCCTTCCCGGCTGCTCTATCTCAGCTTCCTCTTCCTCCTCCTCTTCTTCCTCCTCTGCTACCACTTCTTCTACTACCACCTCCTCCGCTGCTGCCTCCTCCACTACCACCTCCGCTACCACCTCCTCAGCTACCACCTCCTCCACTGCCACCTCCTCCACTGCCTCCTCCACTTCTTCCTCCGCTGCCTCCTCTGCTGCCTCCTCTGCTGCCTCCTCATTCTCTACTACCATTACCACTTACTGTAACGTGTTCGCAAGGTGCTAATCACGTTATCGGTAATGGATACGATAGTTGGCAGGTGGCCTGCTCTTCCAGAGAGGAGGCGAGAGCTGAGAACTAAAGGAGGCTTCGAGGGCATACTGAGGAACAAAGAAGTAACCGTTCAACCAAGTATATTGAAATACTGTCTGTCGAAGTCTGCCTTTTCTATCGTAGAAACAGGCGGTCTTTAAATACACAAATCTGTTCATGTCTAGCATGAACGAAACTAATCAAGGGTATCAATTGATACTCTTTGGTAAAACTCTTTAAGTATCAAAGCGATACTTAAAACAAAACATAAAACAAAACCAAGTATCAAACGATACTTAAAACAAACCAAGTATCAAAACGATACTTAAAGCAAAACATAAAACAAAACCAAGTATCAAACGATACTTAAAACAAACCAAGTATCAAAACGATACTTAAAGCAAAACATAAAACAAAACCAATAACCAAGTACCCGTACCGGTTACATTCCCCAAAACAAAACAACTGTTTAAACAAACAAAACCTAATAATCATCAAAGGTGGATTCCGAGAAACTCATGGCTTCAGTTTCTGCCAAAAACTCTTCATCATAGGTATCACATCAAGGACAAGAGGAAACTCTAAGGAAACACTTAGACTCGAAGAAATCTAAATCACAGTAGTCACGAATACCAGATTCGTGCTGTACGTCAATCCAAGCATGATCACAATCAGGACAGTAGTCAATCCAGAGGATTTCGAAGTAGTCTTCAAGTTGGATAGCATCGCGGTTCAACAACAGTCCAACAACATGTTGTCGCTGCCTCACATTGAGCTCCACATAGTTTGACATCGTTATGGTATTCGGATGGTGATTGGTGACTAGATAAAGTTGTCAAGAGCCTGCTCCATAGCTTGATTCTCCTCATCGCTACTTTCGAACTCTGACTCAAAGTGTGGTGCCCAAAATCCATCTCTAGTTTCGAGTTCTGCGTGCCATCGCTCAGTTTCTGGCATTGTAGGTGTCCAGCACATGGTGATATAATTGATTGTTGGGGGGAGGGATTCATTTGGCATGTTGTCTTTCCACCATCCGTTCACCATATCCATAGCGTGCTCAAGTCCTTCCAGTGGTTCCCAACTGTTTTCGCTCGTCGGATATCCTTTCCATTTGACTAGGAATTGATCATTTCCATGCCAAAGACGATGGTCTCTGATTTCTTCAACTTCCCATTCATCCTTCTTCTCGATAATGATAGGTGCAGGCCGAGAGTGGGTCCTTCCAGGAAACTTGGAGTCGTCATTGGGATGGAATCGTTTGACAGCCGAGGCGTGGAAGACTGCAGTATTGCGGCGGTAGATGCGTCCATCCATCTGGACAGTGTAATTCTCTGTATGCTCGTCAAAGGATATGACTTTGAAGGGTCCTCGCCATCGGGGTTGTAGTTTCTTGCTGCGTCCGACATTGGTAATAAACATGTTACCGTGTACCATGAGCATGTCTCCTGGTGAGATGGGAACATGTTTGCGCCGTCGTTTCTGGGCAGTAGTGGTGCTTCGGAATCGGGCAGCCTTAACAGCTTGGAAGGCATCGTTCCGAATTGCTTGGTGGCGGTTTAGATGGTCATCGGAGGCAGGGACTGAGGAGTTTTTGAATAGAGTTGTAGGTAGGAGAGGGTATTGGCGGCCAAAGACTGCCTTATATGGTGACATTCCCAGGGTATCTGAAAATCCGGCATTGATATATGCGGCTAGTTCAAATAGGGCTGGTTCCCAGTTGGTTTGTCGTTCATTGACCATGTTCCTAATCCCGGTCTTGACTTCGCGGATTTTTCGTTCTACTTGCCCATTAGTCTCATGGTGTCCTGAGGCAGCCATAATGTGGTTTATTCCGAGAGAGGTTAAGGTTTGCTTCCAGAATATGGCGGTAAAGCGGGGATCAGCATCACTGACAATAGATAAGGGGAACCCGTGGGGGGTAAATAAGTGTCGTTGTAGGTTATTCCAGGTGTCTTTGGAGGAGTCGGTAACCTTCATTGGTATTAACCAGGTGTATCCAGAGAATCGATCCACAGCTACCAATATGGTGTCATATTCGGCGGACTTGTTGAATGGTCCTGCGAAATCGATGGCATAGGATTCAAATATTTCACATGGTAGTTGGAGGGTCTAAGCTTTCCCTTCAGGAAGTTGTGTTCGCTCCTTATTTGCCTAGCAGAGTTCGCATTGCCTGACAAAATCGCGGAAGTCCTTTCGCATTTCAGGCCAGTAGACATATTCTGAGGCATATTGGAGGTTGCGATCTGCACTATGGTGTCCTTTATTGTGAATCTCGGATATGACATATTCTCTAATCGTCATTCCGTTGAACATATGGCCTTTTGGTACGTATAGGCAATGTTCTCCATAACGGGTGCTGGTAAAGACCATTCCATTGGATATGTTGTAGGGGGCGAGGTCTCCATGCCTGGAGGAATCCATGGCTTTGAAGTAAATCGGGTCATGGCGGTATCCTGCTATCATTTGGCTTCGGAAAGAGGAGGTTAATTCTTCTGTGGTTGATCTAACATCACGTTCATCCTCGATTAGGGATCCTCTTGTTGGTTCGATAGGGGCTTCCTGTTCCTCAAAGGTTTCGTAGAGTTGACGCCGATGCTCGGGAATAGTAGGGGGTATGACCGAGACAATGGTTTCATTGTTGTATACTCGTAAGGGTCCACCATATAGTGGTCGTGAATCGATCATGGGAGGAGAGGATGGCGGGGCTGACTGTGGGGGTTGTAAATACGACATTGCATCCACGTAGGCTGCGGCTTGTTCGAGTTCTTCAAGGCCTTGGTATCGCGTTGGTGCAGGATTAAGGACATGAGGGTGTTGGGTTGGCTCATTTCCATCGATCCTTTCTTCTTCTCCTTCTTCGGTATCGAAGCTGGTGTCTTTGGAATCATCAGCTGGCATATAGTACGGTCGCTGGTATCTGTTGCCGAACTTGATCTCAGTTTGGTGAAAAGGGCAGGTGTCGTGATAACAGTGGGACCAGTGGGTTCTGCTTTGTTCAAGTTCGTGAGGAGGTGTGCTGCGGAGCGTGCAATTGTCTTTCCATTCTTTATCAATATCCTTTCCTCGTTCTGTTCCGGCAGCACTGTACATGGTGTAAGAGAAAGGATTGGAGGGAGCGGCAGAGCTGGCGGTAGCCATTGACGGTTCTTGTTCATAAGAGGTGTCGTCAGGGCTGTCCTCACTTTGTCTTGTGTGGTCGTGAACAAGAGGAGGGTTCGCAAGGTCTTGATTCTTGTATAGGCGGGAGAGAGCATCGGCTAAATAGTTCGTTCTTCCAGGGGTATAGATGATTTTTGCATCGTATTTGCTGATCTCGCCTATCCATCTTGTTTTTCTTCTTCCCGGTATCTTTTCTGTTTTAAGATTAGTGAGCGGTTGGTGGTCGGTAACAATAGTGAAGGTATTGCCCATCAGGATGTGATTGAAAGCGGCGAGAGCATCAATCACAGCAAGGGCTTCCTTGTCTGTTGTTCCATAGTTCATCTGTGAGTTGGTGAACTTTCTGCTGTGTAATGCTGCCGGCCTTGCCGTTTCATGGGAGGCCCCTTGCCCAACCCATGCTCCAACTCCAACATCCGATGCATCAGTAATCAACCATATCGGTTCTGGTTTACTATAGTCGATAGGTTGAATAACGTTGGCGTTTTTAATCAAATCCTTGACGTTGGTAAAGGCTTGGTCATGAGTGTGGGTCCAGGCAAATTCTGCGTTGCCGGTGAGGTCTGTGAGCGGCGCTGTCACAGTGGCGTGGTGTGGAAGGAACTGGGAAATGTAGTTGACTAGTCCTAGGAATCGCATGAGTTCTTTTTGATTCTGGGGTGTTGACCATTCCGTTAAACAGGCTATTTTCCCTGGGGCTGCGTGTATTCCTTCATCATCTATAACATGTCCTAGGATATCGAGTTTATCGGCAAATAGGATTGATTTGTTTCTGCTAGCATAAAATTTAGCTTCCCTAAGTTTGGTACAAACCAAACCTATATGGTAGGTGTGTTCTGTTATGGTGTTCGAGAAAATGAGAATATCATCAATGTAGACCCAAACAAAATGGTGGAGGTATTCGCTTAGGAGGTTTTCCATAATTCGCATAAAGGTGGTGGGCGCATTCATATCACCTTGTAACATAACTCGGCTAATGAAACTTCCGAAGGGTGTTTTGAAACTGTTGTATCGTTCGCTTTTCGGGTCTAACCTTGTTTGGAAGTAGGCATCGCTTAGATCAATCTTACTTCGGAATCTAGCCCGTCCAACTGCATTTAAGATCTGGGTTTGGTTTGGGATAGCGGAGCTATCCATAACCGTATTTTCATTCCGTAGTTTGAGATCAACCAAGGGGCGGATTCTTTTGCCATCTGCTTTGGGTTGAACAAACATAGGAGTGGCACCAGGGGCTTCTGCCCGGTAGATAACTCCTCTTCTTTGTCGTTGGTTGATCCAATCACAAAGTGGGCTTTTGTATGCGTCAGGAATAGAGTAGGTGGGTTGGTTCTTGAGATTGGAAGGGTCTCGGAGGCGGATGTGGTGATTTACTTCTCTCATAGGTGGTAGTTCTTTGGGTATTTGGTCAGGGAAAACATCAGAATACTCGTCCAATAGTCGTAGGGCAGTTGTTTCACAGACTGCAGCTCGGTATTCTCCGCTTGTTGGCTTGCATGAGACTCTGACCTTCTGATTTGGGAAATCGATAGTTGATTCCCCACACCTGATTATAGCTTTGTGACGATTCAGGAAGGGCATGCCTATTAGGGCATCGTATTTGGCTAAATTTCCAACCAGCATTTCCTGGGGGGGTAGGACTGCAGAACCAAGTCGAATGGTCGCACTACAGGTTTTATGGCTTGTTGATCGTGATCCTTTTACTGCCATATTGACTGGTATGGGTTGGTTAAGGTCTCGGGTAGGGAGTCCATGGACAGAGACAAAGGCATTACTGATCATATCTCTTCCGATTGCACCAGTGTCGAATAGGACTCGAGCCTTTTTGCCATTGATCAGGATATTGCCTTCTAGAGCAGTGTGTGTTTTGAATGTAGCTGGAGGTCGAACACTGTTGCATTCCACATCGATGTACCCAATGTGGATCTCTTCATATTCACTGGATGGAGTGTAATCGCTTTTCAATATCGTTAGCCGACGCTTCTTTTTTTATAGCCTTTCCTTTTCCTTTCTTCGCAGGACAGTTCTTTGCCATGTGTCCTGTTTTTCCACATTCAAAGCATTCTCCCTTTTGCCGTCTCGATTCTTTGGAGGATTTTTTCTTCTTGAAAACTCAAGGGGTATCGTCTTCAGAGTTGCTGGAGGCTTTGTGTCGTGGCTGGCTGTTCCTATTAGAGGATGTCTGTGTTTTGTAGGCCTTGGTCTCATGGAGAATGGCGTCTTTTCGTTCTGCTCTAGCAATTATGACTGCAATATCATCGCCATCTTCCTCGAGTGGTTCTACCTCTCGCCGGAGGGTAGGGTGCATAGTGTCGTAGAATCGTCGCTTCAGGATGTATTTGGAGATACTTCCTCTCTCCATTTGATCCTTATACATTATTAGGTCCGTGGCCACATCGGTGATTCGCTTGACATGTGTTCCGTTAACTTGCTGGAGCTGGTTGAATTTGTTGTATAGGAGGTTGTTGGTTATAGAGGATTGGAATCGTCCTTTCAAGTAATCGAGGACTGTAGATCCTCTTAATCTTACATTCCCGCCGAAGTCCTTATAGCATTGGTGGTATGCGTCGGTTGCCTTTCCTTCACAGAATGATCCAATGATAAGTCCGGTTGTAGGGTCTTCCACATCTTTTCCATGTAAGAGTAGGAAGTGTGAGAGTTCTGTGGCCCATCGTTCAAAAGCTTCAGGCTTGAGGTCTTTCCGTTCGCCTGTGAATTTCGCTGGGAGGTGAAGTTTAAACTTAGGGGGTTCAAATGCTGCGGGTACCTCCTCTTCTTCAGGTCTTGCCCGAGATTTCCCTCCTCCAGAAGGCCCTCCTCCAGTGCTAGCCATGTCTGAATCGCTACTAGAGTCGGGGTCGTTTGGGAGTTCAAAGGAAGGCTTCTTTGCTGGAGTAGAAGGGAAGTCTCCTGGAGGTTGTGTATCTTCCGTGTTTGCCGGATCGCCGGGCTCTTTAGCAGAGCGCCGGGGTTGTTTCTTCCTAGTAAGGTCTTGCCGTGGGATTTGCTTCCCACTCCTGGTCGTCAAAGACTCTATCTTGGGTTTGAGATGAAGCCGAATATACTGAAATTCTGCCGCTTCTCTCCGCTAGCGTTCTGAGGTGGATATCGATAGGTTGATCAGGCCTAAATCCGGGGACAGGTTTTTTACCACTTGCTGAGGTTAAAAAAATGTAACGTGTTCGCAAGGTGCTAATCACGTTATCGGTAATGGATACGATAGTTGGCAGGTGGCCTGCTCTTCCAGAGAGGAGGCGAGAGCTGAGAACTAAAGGAGGCTTCGAGGGCGTACTGAGGAACAAAGAAGTAACCGTTCAACCAAGTATATTGAAATACTGTCTGTCGAAGTCTGCCTTTTCTATCGTAGAAACAGGCGGTCTTTAAATACACAAATCTGTTCATGTCTAGCATGAACGAAACTAATCAAGGGTATCAATTGATACTCTTTGGTAAAACTCTTTAAGTATCAAAGCGATACTTAAAACAAAATATAAAACAAAACCAAGTATCAAACGATACTTAAAACAAACCAAGTATCAAAACGATACTTAAAGCAAAACATAAAACAAAACCAAGTATCAAACGATACTTAAAACAAACCAAGTATCAAAACGATACTTAAAACAAACCAAGTATCAAAACGATACTTAAAGCAAAACATAAAACAAAACCAATAACCAAGTACCCGTACCGGTTACACTTGCCCTCTCTTCTCAGAAACTCCAGACTCAGGAGTCCATTCATGCAGGCTTGACTCTGGGCGGGAGTACGTACTCTTGGCCCTTGGTCTGGGTACAGTTAGCTGAGCACGTGGTGGTATTGCTGGCTGAGTACCGGAGAGCGTGGCCTGTCGTTTTGCGGTAGCATTCTTTACTGCGTGACGGTGAATATCGCTTGCTGTGGAAATAGCAACACCGGTATGCGTTTTTATTTCATTAAATTTATAGCCGAGCTCGCGCATGGTAATAATCGCTGCACATCTGTACGGTGTTATTTCCTTTCCTGTAAGAACTCGAATGTTAGCATATTAATTAAAAATAGTAGATATTACTCACTTACCCCTTGAATGCCCTGCAGAGATCATGGTTGCGGTAGGTAGGTGGAGAGGAATATTACACGCGATGAAGATTAGTATATGGCAACCGCCTAAGTGACACATGTCTGCCAAGGAACCACTTACACCATGGGCTGATACCTTATACTACCAGAATTCCGGATACTTTAAAAATCGGCTAGTACTATGGAAGGGCTTCCTTACCCGATGTCTGAAATCGACCCCCACAACCAAAAGCCGAGAGCGAACCTACCGGTGCCCCAACAACAACCAACTATTTTGAGCAAATCTCTATATAACTACTCAGAATTGTCTTTCTTGATCGCATATAGACTCTACTTTCATTGAGTGAGAATGGTATAAGGTGGTGGACACATACAAATATATGCCAAGGCGCTAAGTTTGCATGTATTACTAAGCAAAGAAAGGTGACTATAAGTTACACCTGAAATCTACTCGTAAGTGCAACCGCATTTTTTTTTTTTGTAGTACTCGTACTTGTGTGATACTCGCACCCGGAGGTGGCATCGCCGCAGGAGTAGATCACCACCGGGAAATTTTCATGCATCAAGTAATTTTCAAACACCAGGCACCGACAAATTTCTTACAAACACTGGTTTTCAAAATTCTACTCTACCAACTCACTCATTTTCAATTCCTTCATCCGATCTAAAAAATCGCGACCAACCCAAAAATGGAGACGATCCGGCCCGCACATCCTACGACCATGGGAAATGTTCAACCCTCATCCGAGGTCACTGCAAAGTGGGAACTTGGTGTGTCTCTCATATTGTATAACTGGGACGTCCTCACGGAAGCTGTGAATAATCTGTGGGGCGGGGAGGATAGTTCAGGCAAGCGGGATTGGCTTGCTGGGGCTATCGTCGAAATGTTTGTGGGGCGGCCGGAGACCGACGAATACGACATCGAGGAGACTCTATTGCAGGTCATGGGGGATGAATTTTCCGTGTGTCTGGAAGACGACTCATCATGGGTTGTAAGTTTATCATCCCACTCGCCCATCCTGCACAATAAAGCTAATAGGAATGGGCGATTAGGTAGCACGCCAGATAATCGTACTGCGAAGGGAGATCATGGACGGCAATTTCTCTACCGTCGATAAGCTCCACGCAAGATTCCTTGCGAGGCCCGGGAACCCGCCAGCTTCAATGTTCAAAGAGGTGGTTGACGAAAGTGGCTCATCGTCTAGCGAGGAGGGCGAGGGTGACGAAGAAATGGGAGATGCTCCCTCTGCAGCGCCATCTGAACCCAGGCAACCCCGGCAACCACTAGAGCCAACCATCGATGAGGAAGGATTCGAATTGGTGCGGAAGCGGGGAAGTAGGAGGCGATAGTTGAGGCGTTGGGTTTGAAATTTCAACGTTGTTCTCTTGGGATGGAGTTTTGTGGTTCTTTTCATAGAAAGGCTATTTCAATTTATGTTACAATAATTCTCTGGGGGTTAAACTGAATTCCGATGCCGAAATTCCACCACTTGGGTAATGGCACTTGTGCTCAGGCCTGAAGACACGAGCATGATACGAGATGTGCAATTCCCATAGAGCGGTAGGGCTTGGCCATGGCCACCATGATTCCTCAAGTTTCCTTGAACACAGCTCACAGGGTGGTACAGTACCGTACTCGAGTACAGTACTCGTACTGATCCATGAATCCTCGAGTGGTTTGCCGTTCCACAAACCCTGCTTACCAGCCTATGATACCGATCTATGGTGCATCGTTCCTAAGACTGGGTCCCACAACCCACAATTCGGCGGTGGAACAGGACCCCCAAAACAATGGATAGACTATCAGTGTACTCGAGTAAAGAAAGCTACAGACTACTCAAAATAACAAGATCGATCCCCGGTAGCGTTTTTCCCCGAAACAAGGTATCATAGTTATGAAAATAAAAAAGTAATTTAATTTATATCATAGCAGACTTTACTCGAGCACTCGAGTAATAGTCTAAATACTATGGAGGTGATGCTGTTCCACAACCATCCTATGAGTATCCCGAGATACAAGTAAACTAATACCGGTATTAGTTTGACTACCGTATATTCAGTCGAGGCTTGGCACAGACAACCTTGGGCTCTCCCCGGAGGGTGTTTTTCATCGCCGGTCCTCTTTTTGCATCGGTTGCACAATGCCCCGCTTGACCCCCCACTACCATGATACTGTATGATAGTAGCCTACTGAATCCCACACTCCACCTCGTCGACGAGCGAACTATCATAGGTGTGACACGCCTAACTCGTTACCAACGGCAAGTTTCCTCGGAGGCTTAGCAACGCTCCCAACACGGAATGGATTTCTTTCTTGCAAAAGTATCGCAACAAGCGGGTATGTCTCTGGTTCCTACTGTTTCTCGAGAATCTTGCTGACTTGATCCAGTTTCATTCGCGATACGGTAGGCTCCGAAAATTGTATCGCTTATCGGGCCTATTCCTCACTGATGGACCTAGGTCGGGCATCATTGTCACGAGTCAGTTTGCTATAAAAGAATGCAGTCGTTATATATCTGTAAGTTCACAGGCTATGGCCAGGAATTGGACAGTCCACTTGCCCCGTTTTCTGGGCTAACGAGCTCTATCCATCGCAGTCAATCAAGGGGAAGGATAGACAAGAGCTTCAAGACCTACAGGATAGACTGGAACAGAAAATCAGAGTCGGTCCCGATCTCAAGCGAGCTGGCTTTCCGCTGCTAACTGTTAGCAGATAATATCTCCAGCAATAGACTTGGTGGAGATTATGTATGCCCCCCTGGTTATGGAACTTCCCGCCTACCGGTTTGACTAAACTGAGCCATACAGTTCTGCTAGAGGAAATACCTCACTTGAGAGTGCTCTGACATTGACGAAGAACATAAGACATGACATTCAATCACTAGGGGTCAGAGTTGCCGGCTTGTCCGCTCAGGGAGGTGGCCGTAAAAGACGCAGGAGCCAGGATGAAATCAACGCTGTGGTTCAAGATATCAAGCAACTTCTAAGGAAGATCGAAGACGTATTTGCCATCACACCTCCTCCCAGCTAAGCACTTGAGCTGACAGCTAGCTGTAGGCGGTTCCTTTCATAAATTTGGCAATTACTACATCCGGAGTGAATATCTCATCGAACATCCCACACAATGTCTCGCCTTCCCGTCTTATGCAAGCTTCAACCTTGCTTACTGCTGGTGATACCGCCTATTCAATGAACCCCTTCAACCCGGCGCAAATTGGCACTACTTTCACATTGAGTCTCTACATGCTGTTTGCCGGTCACTCACATCGACAAGAACATGTCTCCGCAAAGGATTTGACGTGGCAGGAGGTTGTTTACAAATGCAAAGTCAAGCTTCAGAGGGTGCCCTTAGTCTACGATGACGATCAAGATGAAGATGGGGCGAGTCGTAACACTAATCGGCTCCGTGCTCAGAGCAAAATTGATGAATATTGCTATGAACTTTGTCTGATCGAAGATCTGGATGACGGGAGAATGCATGAGGTTGAAGAAGGAAAACAACCTCCCGGAAGCTTTGACGATGTGGAAAAGGCCGGATTAAGAACCAGGATACCAATCCACCAGATATCCAAGATCTTTTACACTAACTCTGGACAACTTCTTGGGATAGAAGATTCGAGCTCCCCGATACTTCTGGTTAAGCGAGATTTAAATGCTGCGCCACCCCGAAAACTAGTTGATCGAGTTGAACAATATGATTATGGTGATAGTGGCAGCGAGGGAGAGTACCCCTTGGACATGCACGAGGGGGATAGTAGGGAACTTGAACCCCGACAAGAACTTCCGGAGGAATACGAACTTCCCCCCCATCTTGACCCAGAGTGGTTGGCTTTTGAAGTTTTCACAGAACCCGAGCCAGACTTCGATGATGCAGCGTCTGAATATAGCGACGCCGAAGAGTCACTCTCTGTGTCGGGGTCATCTCCCCCAGGATCACTTACCGATCCAAATACCTCCATAGCGCAAGCTCTATCAAATGTTGAGTTAAGCATCAGCGAACATCCCCCGTCACCCACACCGTATGTTTCTCCGAACGTCAAATCCACACTTTCAATCTTGGAATGCCTTCTCAGACTTACCATCTTGCAAAACTACCAACAAACCTCGCACCTTGCTGTCCACGACGAGCTCCTGAACCTTTTCCTATCGGACTCGGCATGGGACGGCACTCGTGAGAGCAGACGGCAGGAGCGAGAGAATGCCCGCCGAAGGATTGGGTTCGACCCCTTCGGGTCGCCCACGAAGCCGGCCAAGGAGGCGGAGGTTGGTACTATCCAACTCACGGGGGGCAGTAGAGCCAGTAGTCACCGAGGAAGCAGGTGGGGCACCCCGCAATCTTTTGGCAGGGGATACCGCCTTGATTCAAGTCTACCTATGACACCTAGCTCAGATTCGGGGAAGCCAATGCGCAAGCTTGAGGATCGTGAGCAGCCGGTATTGGCAAACAATCGAGAGCTCTGGACACCGGAGCAGCAGTTGAGCTCTATGTTCAATAGCCCTTACGGAACGAGTCCATTGTCCAAGAAGAATTCCCCGGACGGTAAAAAGGTTAATACGGAAGAGAGTTAATGAATCTAGAAACAAACTTTTCATAATGTTACCCCGTCTTTTTGTTTTCCTTTTTTCTCCTTTTTTCTTTCTTTTCTTTCCTGTCGGCTATAGTGACGATGAGGAGGCGTTTGGTTGTATCATAGCACATTGGCAGTTGGCTAGGTAATTGTACGAAGAGGATATCATAGCGCTGAGATTACTAGTGGTAGAATTGGGGTGTAATGGTAGATGGCTACTCTTTTTTCCCTTCCTCATTTATAATGCTAATGTGATAAGTTGGGGCATTTCATTAAACCCTCTCGTGAGCTGTGGATCCTCAATTCCCCGATACGAGTGCGCGGTGGTAACTTAGTATCATAGCAGTATCAAGTTTTAGTAATGATACAAAGGCAAGCCAATTTTCAAGTCCCGTTCTCACCCAGTCCGCCCGGAAGAAAAAACAATCATAGATATCGCCGTGTCATGGCATGTCAACCCCTTCCGCTGTGCCCGCCCGCAAAATCAGGACTAAAAGCTAGGATACCGTATGCAAAGATATCAGAATATGTCCACCGGGATCGCGAACTTAGGTTGGGTACCGGTAAATTTATATGCACTAAGAAATGCTTGCCAGGCTGCTACTCTACACATTACCGGTATGGCTTGGTAACGGACCGTATTGCTTCCTTCCTGGCGGGGGCTATTGTAATCGCGAATGAATAAATAAGTGGATGTTATACTACATTGTATTCAATAACTTTTCTCTACCCCCCCACCTCCGAAAAAAGTGAAAAAAGTGATACAATATGATACAGTAAAGTAAAACACACCTCACTTGAGGAAAAGAAAAACTTTAAAACACTTTTCACAGCAATCAGACACCAATTAATACCTACCCCCCAACCTCATCGACAACCCTCCTCTCCTCCAGTCCCAGAAACCCCGCACTCATTCCCTCGCTGTTCACCAGTGCCTGGGCAAGGTTCACGTTCCCGGCGGTCAAGTACTTTGTCGAGAACCCGGCGTTCACCTTCTCCCTCAACAACGCGGCTAATTCCGCCCTCCAGGACGCGACTTCCGCCTTAGTAGCCGTGACTGCGGTCTCCCTGCGTTTCTGCCCGCCCTTGCCCCTCTTCCCCACCGCTGCCCCACCACCACCACCGCTGCCGGCGAAGCAATCGCTATCATACTCAACGCCTAGATCCTCCGCGGCAGCCTTCAACCACTCATTTTCATGCCCCTTCTTCGCCTTTTCAATCTGGCAGTCGGCTATTTTCTTCGCAAGCTCGACGCGGCGCTTTAGCCTCGTGACTAGCTTCCTATCGGCGTCGAAAGAACGCATGGCGTAGCGTGCCGTCGATAGGGATTCCGGGTCGTGCACTTTCGCGACCAATCTACGCACGCCGATGACCTCGTCCGGTGAACATAGTAGGATACTAACACCGCGGGCATCTGTGCCGCGCGCTGTACGGCCCGAGCGGTGGACGTACGTGTCTGCGGTGCGGGGGAGGTGGTAGTGGATTATAAAGTCGACATTTTGTATGTCGAGGCCGCGGGCGGCGACGTCTGTTGCTACCAGGATGGAGTGGGGGGATGTTGGGGAGGAAAAGCGTTCTAGGGAGCGGAGGCGTGCTTTTTGGATCATTTTGGAGTGGAGGGGGTGGGCGGGGAGGTTCAGGTTTGTTAGGAGCGGGGAGAGGCGCTTGACGGAGGTAATTGAGTTGGTGAAGATTAGAGTTTTGGAGGGGTAGCGGAGGAGGAGGTAGTATAGGTAGAGGTCCTAGAGGGGAGACTATTAGTATTTAGAAGATATAATGTGGGGGATGATTAGTGCCTTTTCCATAGCGCCGCATTCGATGATTCCTTCCTTTAGCCTTTCCGCAAGCTGTCCGACGGGATTGGCGTCGATGAATTTGGGAGCCCTATCTTTGAACTTGAGCTTTTTGAGCAGATACTCCTTACTCTCCTTCTCATCCATCAAGTCACCACCCAACCTCTTCTTCCCACTCTTCCCAGCAAGTTTCTGCTGCAAGCCTTGATGAAACGTCGCCGAAAAGACCAACGTCTGCCGCTCAGTCACCTGCTCCTGATGCTTCTTCTTCACAGAATTCCTCTTAGAATACTCGTCCTCATCAACGTCACCCCCACCCTCACTATCACTCTCAGCATCCCCCCGCCCAAGGAGGTTCATGACTTCCTCAACCTCCTTAAAGTGTCCTTCCTGCAAAAGCCTATCTGCTTCGTCCACGACCAAAAACTTCAATCCCCTCTTCAACTTAGTTACCCAACCCTGCCCCTCAGAAACGACCTCCCATAACCTCCCCGGCGTAGCAACAATCACATCGGCGCCACCCCTCTCAGTCAATTGCCGAAGCTGCTTCTGCAGCGAGAGCCCTCCAGTGACTGACACTATCGACATATCCGGTGCGTATGCCGTCAGTGCCCTCAGGTGCGCATGTAACTGATGCGCGAGCTCCCTGGTCGGGGAGAGTATCAGTGCCATGGGTAATTTCTCCTCTTCCTCCTCCCCCTTATCCTTGGAGCTTTTTCGCGGGAAAGAGAGGTAGTGCTCCAGAATCGGTATGCCAAATGCAAGGGTCTTGCCGGAACCTGTGCTGGCTTTGCCAATTAGGTCATGGCCTGCAATGATCTCGGGGATCGCGGAGGACTGGATGGGTGTAGGGGTGTTAAAGTTTAGTTTTGAGAGGGCGCGGAGGGTGGGGAGGGAGAGGTTTAAGGAGTCCCAGGCTGGGAGAAAGACTGTTTGGCAGATGATTAACTTTTTACTCTGATGGGTAGTGGGGGTGCCTGGGGAGGGCATTTACTATCTTCGTCTTCATCATCCAATAGTAAAGCAAAAGAACCTCCGAGCTCGCTGTCCTGGGATCTAGACTTTCTAGCTTTCTTCTTTTGTACCTTTCCGGAAATCACCACTTTCTCAGAATCCCCACCACTATTAATCCCCTCCCACTCATCCTCATCATCCACTTCCACTTTCTCCTTCTTCCCCCTGTCTTTCTTACCACTCTTATCAACCTTCGCCAAATTATTGACCTAAAGCTCCCATCAGCACCCCTCCCCATACCACAACCCCCATCCAAACCACAAACCTTATATTCAACCCTCCCACCCCCATCAATCTCAACATCCACTCCATCAACCTCGTCGAGTCCGTAAAAACCCTCGACATCATCTAACCTATCCGGCATAGGAACTTCTTTCCAGCCCAACTCGTCGAGGGTGACTTTGTAGCCATTGTCTGTTTTTGCACGCTTAATTATTACTGGCTTCGGGCCTGCGGGTTGGCGGGTGCGTTTTTTGGATTTTATGGCGGGGGGCGGCATTGGTGGTAGTCGTGGCTGCTTTAGTTTCTGTGATTTTCCACGATAATTTTCTCCCTAAAGATACGGTACTGCAGGCAAGGGTACTTGCGGGTGGTGCTGTGTGGGGTTGGTTTCGGGTGGTGGTTACCCTGCTTTGGATGGGGTGTGCTGCTTCATCATGGAGTATCACTCTTACAATGTCACAATGGCAGGTTGTATTGGATGCGGGTTTGGGTGATAAATGCTGGGACTAAAGGTTAGTAGATTTTGGCATGCCAAAAGAATAGAGATGAGTGAGAATAGCACAAATTTTATAAATTCTGATCTGTAAAGAGCACTAGCGACCCATCAGGCACAAAGGAAATTGAGAAGAAAATAAAAGAAAGGAAAAAAAGGTCTAGCCCAATTACTTTTGTGGAGGTATATAGAAGAAAAATAGTTTACAATACAAAGGGATTAACCGGAAGCACTCCCTACTAGCAACATGTCCAACATCCCCACAACCAGGCTTGATTGTTTTGAGTTCTCCACTTCCTGTTTGACGCGGAGATGAAGCCTTCTAATAAGTTTATCGAATTCTGGAGACTTCCCCAGGTCGTGAGAGTACATATCTACCAGTTATCAGCGTGGCAGAGGTAGGCAGCTGGGGAAGGCAGACGGGTCATACCAAGGATTAACAGAGAAACTTCTACAATTGTCGAAACGTACTGGATGTCAGGGAGATGCTTGATCAACCATTTTAGAATAGGACTGAGGGTATTTTCGTCGCGATTGGCTAGTGCTGCATTGATGGCATTGCGATAGCGGAGCTCCCCGAGAATTGTGAAGACGGTGATATGGGGTTGGCCCTAGAATGTTTATAAGTGCCAAACGGTCAAGATATAGATGGAGAAACAGACCGACATAAGAGCAGAGTCCAAGGCACCGCCGTAATTACCTTTACGGAGGTGGTGTTCCCAGGGCCTCTCTTTCCTCCTTCGGGTCTCTTGTTCCACAACTATATCCGCTCCTTCCCCCTTGTAATCCATTCCCTTGGTACGTCTCCTCTGCGCACTGCTCTTTGACTTGGGGCCGCCCGTGCCGGTAATGGGGTCAATCCCAGCAGCAATCATGTCCAAGACCCTCTCCTTTTCTTTGGCCTTCTCCTTCTCCTTGCCGCTTCTACGGGTACGCACACTGAACAGCCCATTGGACATGCCAACTGCCAAATGCTTTTCATCGGGGGAGATACCAATTGCGAGAATCGGCGCGGGATACTTGACACCATGGACAACCTTCCAAGTGGTAGGATCGTAAACCTTCACATGGCGGTCAAGTGCACCGGTCAAGACTCTCCTCCCGCCTTGCCGCGGCCCGGTGGACAGTGCCAACGAAGTAATACTCTTCTGATGGTTGTGGAGGACAGCAACACGCTTCGCTGCAATTATATCCCATACATGAACAGTTGGCCCACTGGAGGCCAGAATGGTTGTTCCGCCTGGTAAAACCAACAATGCGTCGACAGGAGCTGGAGCATTGAATTCCATGCTACAATGGTCACCGACGGACCTGGAATCCCACAATCTAACCGTCCTATCATAACCTCCAGACACAACCGAATAGGGAGAACCAGGAACAAAAGAGGCAGCCCGGACGTAGTCTTGGTTTCCGATAAATTTGTGAGTCGACTTCGATGAGGTCAAGTCCCAGAGACGAACTGTCTTGTCATCAGAGGCAGACAGTACTTGGGTCACAATTGTCGGGGAAAATTTTGTAACACTAACGGTGTTCCCCATGTGCTCATCCCATGTCTTGATGACAGCTCTCGAGCCAATGTCAAAAACTTGAATCAGTCCACTGTCATCAGCGGCAACCAAAACTCTTCCGTCAGAGCGAAAGCTTCCGGATTGCGCAGGTGCCTGGAATCTCGATATTGTCTTTGACACTACTCGGGTTTTCGATGAATACACCTTGACGAGGGTAGAGGCGGTGACAGCGAAATCATGGGGGGAAACCGGGGAGAAATTGATAGATTTGATTGCTCCGTATTCTTGAATTAGAAGGTGCGACTTGAATGTTCCCCAGTAGCGTTGCTCGGGAGTTGAGGCGGCGGGGAGAGCGGGCAGCCTGGCGAGTGGCATACGGGTGACTGGCGCAGCCATGATTATAGATGATTGACCAGCTGTAGCTGGCTGGGGTGGGCTACAGCTGTTAGGAGAGAAGACAGGGATTTCTAGACAGATGAATAGGGAGCGCCGAGTAGTGAGGGCGGGGGACGAACGAAGGTATCAATTATAATAATATTAATACGCTTGTGGTGAGGAACTTTAGGTGGCTTTGTGCCTTTCTTTTTTTTTTTTTTTGTGGCTCCGAACTGATCTTATCGGGAAGCATCAGCCTTTATCCGAAACGCCATGGTCACCAGCCACGCACTAACCACAAGCAGGTGTTGCAGCAGCCGCAACCCAACAAGAGAGTGCGAATGTCAAGAGTTCTTAGGGTATTAAACTCGAGAACAAGCATACCGGCAGCCAGAAAACTGCTGCACATGCGCCCATGGGCTAGACTCTGTGATGGCCCGTTACAGAAAGTGGCCTCCGCTATTCTACTCGAAATACCGGTACCGGCAGAGCACCAAACACTGGTACGATCTTGGCGTAAAGATCATGAGCGTCATAATCTAGCATCTTACATCAAAAATGTGCAGACTTGCAGCTCACCCAACCAAAGTATGATATTAGCATTATAGGCTTCGCAATCGCTCAAGTTTTTTCAGTAAAAAATTGGGTGGATTTTGTCACCCTCATGTGAGTGCTGATAGTAGCGAAATGTTTGTCCTATGATACCAACTGGGTTATCAGATTCTACAGATGCTAAGATTCCAATCTGGCATCATAAGTCAACTTTTGCCGTAGCTTCCCCCCCCCCGGCAGCCACGAGCTACAGGTTATCCAAAATCGCAGCGACCATTCGAGCAGCTGGGCGGTGTTTGAGTGGATTAATCTCATGGCTTGCACTGTGTCGGGATAGTGTTTATCTCTTTACTCATTAAAACTGATTAGCTCTTTAAAGAAGCTACTGCAGGCGCTAGTTATAACCTGGACTTGTATCACAGGGCTTTTAGGCCTTTGGTAGGTATGTCTTTCGATGCGGATATTGAAGCATTTTTACCACCATATCCGCGGCCCGCAGAGTCTTTCATAAAGGCTCTATCTACCTTCTCCGGCGATGCCGTAGGTATTTCATTACCCCAATCTGGCATGGCAGTCTTCTGTGCTGCATGAGGGACGTGGGTGGGCGGGTTCAGATAATGGCTGATGTATCATACCTCTTGTTAGAGCATATTCTGTAGTATACCCTGCGCTAGGTCACAGGTTGGTGGGTGGACAGTTTCTTTGACAAAGGAGGGCGCGCTTTACATAAACCTTGAGCCAAGCTGTGCCATGGCTGTCTCGTATGTGTTGTATGGGCACAATCTGAGTTAGGCACCGCGATCCCCGCGGGGGGCCATTTAGCTTTTTTTGCTCCTGCACGAGTACGAGAACTTGTATCATACTTCGGTGAGTTGATACTGGATCTATGAGAAGACATGGATTATCACTGGTTCTTACTGTACTAGTACCGTACTCGAGTATCATACTCGTACAAGTACAGTACCAGCATCTTGGTAGACCCTAGCTTGGCACGCTTACTTGCAAGTAGATCTTTGTATCATAATAATATTATTATCATACCGTATTATGAGCGACCAGCTACGGTAGTATTATGAGCGATCTGGAGGTGTTGGACGCGTTACAAGTACCATCGTTTTTAACTAAGTTACCGTGGAGTGTAAATTGCAAACTGAATAAATAAGGGCTTGTGTTAATTGAAAGACGCATACCGGTAGGTGAAGCGAGGATAAAGAGTGCCGGTATTGCACGCTTGTTATGGTGCCACAAGATAGGTCAGTAGTACGTGTATATAATAAAGTGGGATTGGGGTCCTGAGAAAGAGGAGGTGGTTGACCAGAGCATCGTTGTTACTGTTACCAATATTGCACGATACTGTACTCGCACAGTAGCATCCGACATATCGGCAACTACCATAATAATTACACCCCTTTTACTCTTTGCCCTTCTTTGAACCAACTAACTGAAACTTCTTTGTGTGTGTTCTGTGGTTCTGTGCCCCTAAGCTCTCTGTGTTCAACCAGCTTCCTTCGCTTATCGGTATTTCCATCGCGTGGGGGATGTCACCCTTCAACACTTTCACTGTCGCTTCTGCTGCTACCCCGACAATAGTTTCCACTGCTCTCTCTCACGTACAACGAAACACCCTCCCCCCCTTTTCACCTTTTAAATCATCCAAAAAAAACAAACAAGCGAAGAAAGAAAGATGGAAGGAAGAAGCTGATCCAAACTACCGTAGTTCCTCGATAATAAACATCTAGAAAACACACCAAAGGCCAATCTCTCGTACCACGGGGGTGTAGAGCTTGTCCGAAAGTTTTTGGTCTACGCATCTCAACACACCGTCGAGCAGCTACAAGCCTTCACCTCGCAGTACGTCCCGCACCCTATTTGGGTGCACACTGAGGATGAATCTATTCCTGCCGAGTTCTTGGAAAAGTCTGCCGCACACGTCGTTGAACACCTTGGCCCGGATGGCGTCGAGAAGGTCGGGGGCGAGCAATGGTGGAAATGGGCGCCGAAGGAGTTGACTGCTGAATGGGTAGAGATGAGGAAAGACTGGTGGGCCCGAACTAGGCACCCGGAAACCCTACCGAGAACTATGTTCTATGTTCATGGAGGTTGGTTCCAGCCTTGACCTGTGAAAGGGATAGAGCTGATCACGGATTCTTGGTTAGGCGGTTACTTTTTCGGGAGTGTCGATGAACATAGGTATCAACTACAGAGACACGCCCGGAAGCTCAAGGCTAGAGTATTTGCACGTATGGAATCTTTTATGGTATTTATTAGCCTATACTCACCTTACGGGTTCTATAGCACGGTACCGGCTTGCTCCGCAGTTCCCGTTTCCATGTGGTACGCCGCCTTCGACCACTAGCTTATAGTAGATATTAACAAGACTAATAGCAATCTATGATGTTCTCGCATGTTATATCTATTTGATATCAATACAGAGCCCCGAAACAATCATCCTAGCTGGTGATTCGGCCGGCGGAGGGATGGTACTATCTCTCTTGGTGATCCTTCGGGATCAGGGACTCCCAATGCCTGCCGGGGCTGTATTGATTAGTCCTTGGGTAGATCTTTGCCACAGCTTCCCTAGCATCGTCGCGGGTAAGTTAGAGCCGAAAGCACAAGAAACGGCGGGGCTTTAACTACTCGAGTGATTCTCGATGACCGAGTCCTAGACTCTCTGATGGCGGTGGCTAACAAACGACTAGGAAATGAACATGATTTCATGCCACCCCACGGATTCTTTCACAAGCCTTCACAGGCTTGGCCGCCCCCAACCGAAGAAGATGTCGATGCTTCAACGGATCCAGAGAAACCACCAATAATCACCGTTCACAAAAAAACCGTAACAATAGCCGGAAGCCTGGTAACCCTCAAGGACCAAATCCACATGTACACCACAAACGACCTAATGGACCACCCCCTCGTCTCCCCAGTCCTACAGAGCACCCTCGGCGGCCTCCCGCCACTACTAATAATATCTGGCGGCGGCGAGATCCTAAGAGACGAGCAAATCTACATAGCGCACAAAGCCGCAAATCCCGACAAGTACCCAACCTGGCCCGGTCATTTGGCCAAAGACCCATCGGGGCGCCAGCAAGCAGCGCTGGGGAAAAATTACCCCCCGACAAGAGTTTGGCTGCAAGTCTACGATGGCTGTTGCCACGTCACGCCCACACTTTCCTTCACCCGTCCTGCAAAACTGATGTTCCGCGTGATAGCGCACTTTGGTGCATGGGCGCTGTCGAACGCGACGAACACGAGCATAGAAGTCGATGAGGACGACGACATCTCCGTGATCTCCACGGACGAGAACAGCGCCGTCCCCCCGGGCCACCACAGGTTGCGCCAGACTGGCACAATCAAAGAGTCCAATTCCCAGAGCGTGCCCCCGTTTGAGGACAACATGATTAGACAACAGATCGACCACCAGGGCCGCATTTTCGAATTGCCCCCCGTACAGGAACTCCCCGGGATGCAGCTGGCGCCCGACCAGATCGGTGTTGTTAAGCCGGAGCCAGTGCGCAGGTGGCTGGAAGCGAAGGCTTGGTCGGATGCTAAATTCTCGAAGACCAGGAAGAAGGTTGAGAAGAAGCGCGCGAAGGAGGTGCTCGCTATGATGCAGGAGGGAAAGGGAGAAGGGGAGGGGGAGAGGGAGAGGGAGAGACCACCTCCCAGTGCGCTTTTCGGAAGGATGAACAGGGAGAAGGTCTGCAAGGGGGCGGCCGCTGCTGCCGGTGGCGGCATCGGCGGGTCGAGTCTTGGATTAAGGTTTTGGAGCTCGATGGGGTATAGCCATGATGAGAAGACGGTGAGTTTTTTTCCCCTTCATGGAGGAGCTTGAAACTGACTGTATTCGGGATGGGGCGGGATAGATGGCGAGAGAAGAAAAGGCAGAAGCGAAAGTGGAGGCGGCTGAGAGTGCACAACGCTCCTCCGGCACTATTTACAGCAAAGATGGGTAAATTGCACTGATAGTATCGTATCATTATTCTTGGGGTCAGCATATAAGATACAAGAGAGCACGGATATTTCCTTCCACCGCCTCCTTTCTTGCTTCACTTTTTGTTCTTTCACTCTTTCAACACCCTCTTCCTCTCATAGGAATGTGTTGGACCACCGATCTTATTTATTTATATAATCGCCGCTTTTGTTTAAATCCTTGAATATGACAATGATGAAGCTGCTCTTTACAAATTGGCCTTTTATTACAGCAGGCGTAATTAAAGAAACGGCCGCAGTAATACCAAATACCTTCAGTAACCGCGATCAAGTACCGTAAGAACTGACAATATAAGACGTTTCGAATATCGCACTGCATACATAGTCGCATGCTAGTGGCGCGCTCTCTTATATACTTTAACTGACCTCCACTTTTCGTGACACTGCTGGAAGGGGGAGGATACACTCCTATCCGGAGACTCCTATCATACGGTACCCTACTCAGGCGAATAACCACGCCTTACGCACCGCCACCGGACGCCGGAAACCCCCCCGCTATCATACCGCCAAGCCATGCACACCCCACGAACCATTGTTCCGACTCAGTGTGTGTTGCGGGCAGTCGATATCAAGATTGACCTATAAGTTAAGTCTGCCATGACACCGAGTATGATACTTACAGGTCGGTCGGCGGTAAGGTTGATGAGGCAAGCGCGAACAAGCGGTGTTCGCTGTTACGGTTTCGGATCCCTGTTGGAAATGGATATGCCGAGTGTGTGTGAGAGTGATGGGTAGGTCTAGAGGGGGTGATGTTTTCTTGTGGTCTCTTTGCCACTTTATTTCTTCCATGGGCGAAAGTGGTTGTATCGTTGTATCGTAGTAGATCTCCTGAGTATCGTATATCATAATACTTGTATTATATGGTTATCCGTTTGGCATTTGGCCTGGCAACGACCTGTCTTGGGGGATCATAATGTGTCACTCGCTAAAGATTTGGTTGCGGGGATTAGAAAGAGAGAAATGGCCCGATTAGGCCATGTGTGCCGTAGCATCCTCTTTAGCCTTGAGACAGCCCTCTTTGAATGGGCATTTTGTCAAGGTCTGGCTAGGTGACGAGCAAGAAGTAGGTTACTTGCTAGAGTCAGAGAGCATAAGGTAACGGAGAGTGTGAAATGACCCGTGTCGGTAAGGTGATGGAATTGAAGTGAGAAATTTGGGTGCTTCATATCTCTCTGGAGTGAGGAAGTCCTCCCTCTTTCGGATGTCCCTACTTTTGGAACTTTTTGCGAGAACGCTATCGTTGCTGGCAATGTCCACGAGTTGTAATGTATTGAATTATGCCCTGGGCAGCATGTTAATGCTGGGTAGAAATGGTGCAGGGGGCCGAGAATGGACTATCGACGATGTTCGTAGTGTTTGCTGGGTGGAAGAGCTCGCGTCATTCTCATTCCATCTACATCCACCGCGCTCCTGGTATCATTTCAAACGGCCCATTTCCAAAATTACACAATGATATCTAAATTCTAGCAAACTCAATAATGCGCTTAGGCGAAAGCGCCACATTAACTCTTCACAGAAAAAACCACAACCCTTCCATCAACACCACTAGAGCTGAACTTAGTAACATTTCCCGCCCTGCCCTCATAAGGCCTCAAGATAGTGATCGAGTTCTGATGAATTGTCTTCAAGTTGGTGTCATCCGCCGAACTCTTTCCTTTCAAATCCATCTGCCTAAACATGTTCAATGCACTAGATTCCTGACTTGCACCGGAACCTGCAGACTTGCGCGGGTCGTCAACAGAGTATGCCAGCCTCCATCCCCCCATGTTACCCTCGAAAACAACCGGGTGACAGTCGTGACCGGCGGCAACGAGTTGGTCCTCACGGGTCCAGCAAAGCGTAACAAACGGCAACATTTGGGTCGTCACACTAAGAACCGCATGTGGTGGTTGTTCCGGTGCGGACGGGTACACAACGGTAACACTACTGTCATGGGCAGCGAATGCAAGTGCATTTCCAGAAGGCGAGAAAGCAACTGAATGGACCCAGCCACCAGAGCTATTGATATATTCCCCGCAAACAGTGTTGAAGGGAATACGCTCTCCCCAGACGGTTGGCTCAGGGCGTTGGTCTACACCTTTGATGAACGAGGAGAACACGCGGGCATGAGCGTCTGCGGAACCGGCAGCGAGTAAGACGGAATTGGGATGCCAGGCGAGTGAGAAGACGGTGGAACGGAGAGGTTTTTTGATGTGCTTTGACACCCACCAGTCGTTTTCTCCCTCAAAGTAGCACACAGCGATGACACGCGCACCGGAGCCAACGGCGAATTTGGTCTCGTCAGGGGACCAACGAACGTGTGTTGCAGCACGGTTGATACGGAGTAGGACGAGAGTTGGCTTCCAGCCTGTTGGGGATGGTTCCCAGACTAGAGCGTTACGATCTGAATAACATTAACATAGGATCCTAAGATGGAGCGAATGGGGAATACCTTGGGAGCAAGTAACAATCCTCCTAGTATTCGGTGCGATGTCAACACTAGTAACAGTCTTGTCATGCCCAGCCAGTTCATCCTGAAGGGTGAATCCCGACCCGGAACGTTTATAGAGCTCAACTTTAGTATCCCGAGATACAGCTAAGAGAGACCTGTCCGCACTGAAGGAGTGATCGGCAATGGGCTGGTGAAAGAGGAGGTGAACTTCAGACATGATAGATGATGTGGGTAGCGATAGGAGCAGCACTCTACTATCACTGAAGTTGTGGAGGTTTGATGAATATTTTGGTGGGGAATCGAACCGACGGTGATTGTATCTGCACTGTTACCCTACCTTTACTTCACGTCATAAGAATGTGCTGCCAAGCTAAGTAAGGCAGTGTTGCCGCTCTTTATCCTTGACACGCGCCTTATCCAACACTGTTACAACCAATTTCTTCACATTCCACCAGAGTTCGACCGTCAACCAAAACTGAGAACATTATGGCTCCGGGTGCCAAGCGCCGTATGGTATGATCCAGATCTCTACATCCATACAATACAATATGTTGACCTGATCTCCCAGCCAGTACCACCTCTTGAGTCGGACTCAGAAGCTAGTCCACCACAACGTCGCAGGCTGGTACCTCCGCAAAGCTCCCGGCGCAACAATGGCGAGAGCTCAACGCAGGGCGCTAGAAGAGATCGCCTGAGAAGTGTCTCTGCAGAACAAGATGACGTTGAGGATGAAGTTGCTAGCGGTGCTGAGGGCATAGAAGCAACTCAAGGTTCGTTTTTTTCCAACCGGAAAACTCTTTGTAGCTAACAAATTAGATTCAAACAAGGAACGTATGATCAAGAAACTCGTTAGATATGCCATCTCTGCAGAATACACCCGTGTGCCGATAAAGCGCACTGAGATATCGAGCAAGGGTCTGTTCAATAGCCTCCTCATGTATCTTACTTCTAACAGTTCTCTAGTCCTCGGTTCACATGGGCGAATGTTCAAAGAGGTCTTTGCCGGCGCTCAATTGGAACTAGAACGTGTATTTGGGATGAGAATGGTAGAGCTTCCCCTTCGTGAGAAGACGAAGCTCAGTCAGAGGAGAGGTGAGTGGAATCCATTGCATTATTTTTGTTACATTGAAAAGTTGTCTGACACTGCTTGAGAAATCCAGCTGCGCAAACCAGTGACAAAGTTCCTTCAACTTCAAAATATTACGTCCTCACCACCATCCTCCCTGAGAAATTTCGCGAGCCAGAGATTGTCCAACCGTTCGGTGTCAAAGAACAAGCCTATGTTGGTCTCACTACTATGATCGTGTCTCTAATCTACCTCAATGGTCGTTCTATTGCAGAAACCAAGCTTGACCGCTACCTCAGACGCATGAACGCAGACAGAAACACCGCAGCTGGGGAGACCGAGAAGGTCCTTCAGTCAATGATCCGTCATGGCTACATCTCAAAGCAGAAAGACGACAACGCTAATGACGGCACATTTGACTACGTTCTTGGCCCCCGGGGAAAGGTTGAGATTGGAACGGATGGTGTTCTATCTATGATCAAAACGGTTTGTCCCTTCACTCTCATCACTTTGAGAACTCACTAATGGGCGTAGGTCTATGCTACCAACGTCCCCGAGGACGTCGAAAAGCGAATGATGAGAAACATCGGATTCGATCCTGAGGCTGGCGCGTCCCAGGTCCAGGGTTCGCACAGACGGAGGGAGAGGAGAAGCAATGGCACTCAGAGGCAGGCTGGGTCAGAAGATGAAGTTTAATATTACTTGGCTGTACACTTGTGACCCTTATGTTCAAGCAAAGGCGTTAGGGAGAGGCTTGCTGTTGTTCTGTTTTCCAATAATTAACCCATAGCTGTATCATTACCCACAATCACTTTTCATTGGCGAGAATAATGAACAACTATAAGATATAATGTCTGGTGCACCGCTATCGTAGTATACATCCTGTAAAACCAGCCACAAAGTCCCTCATCTGAATTAAAACCCCCCGCAAACCCCACACAGCTCTTCAATAACCCCCACCTCTAATCCTCCTTCTCCGGTGGCTTTCCAACCGGCTGAATCATTTTCTACACCAATTAGCCTCCCCAATTCCCCCACCTCCTCAAGAGGAACCAAGCTCACCTCGATAAACTTCGTCCTCATTTTCGCCATCGGCTCGCCCGTCGCAACACTCATGTATTCCAGCAACGGCGGATGTCCGATATAACTCGCATAGGTATCTCTATGCACGTTTGAAACCCATTCGCTTGTTCTATTAGCTTCAAAATGTAATGTTGGGGGGAAGGGGAGGTTGGTACAATTTTGTGGTGTCGGCGTGGCCGGTACCGACGTAGCGGGCTTGGAGTTGCTCTAGTTGTTGGGTCGCGCGGAGTTTGTCGGCCATTGTTTTTATTGGTACGTATGTGTGTATGTATGTGGATATGTATGTAGAGGTGAGGTAAGGTGAGGTTTTGAGGGAGGACGATGGGTGTACGAGTACGAGTACAGTACTCGAGTAGGATACAGGTCGTTGGATTCGTTTGGGTGGTTTGGGTTGGGATGGTTTGCGGGTAGTAAGTAACTCGAGGGAGAGCCGCAGACTTGGCAGGTGGGCCAGGCTCATGTTCCTTGCATTATTAGGCTTTGATGGGCAACCGTGTTTGAGGCTGTTTAGAGAGTACGATATTAGGGAAAACGGTATCACGACATGGTCATTGTATCATATCATACAAGCGAGAGAGAAAAGTAAATAAAGATACGGTACTAATACAAGCTGCTACTATGTGACAAACTTTTGTTCAGCGCTCAATATTTCCGCGAAACGAATAAAGTTAGAACGAGGAGAAAAGGACATGCACATTAGAACATTTCCCATCCAGAAACGTCTATCTGTCTACCGTCCCCTTCCGTACCCGCCATACCCCGGTGGCGGAGGCCCAGGAGGAGCAAACCCTGTGGCTCCCGGTGGAGCTCCAGGAGCCTGTCCGGGAAACCCTTGAGGCGCCTGTTGCTGTGGACTTCCGAAACCCGCCGGCAGAGGAGGCGGCTGACTGAAGCCAGGGTGCATCGGCTGAGCGAACCCCACTGGCGGTGGGGGTCTGCCATAGGCATGTTGCTGATGCGGCTGAAACCCGACCGGCGGAGGCGGACGAGCCGGCAGGCCCTGCGGAGGAGGCGCAAGCTGCGGTTGGTGGGGGGGTGCATGATGCTGCGGAGCACCACCTCTGCCGGCGGGTGGGAGGCCTTGCGGTGGTCCGGGAGGGGGTGCGTGGAAGCCGCCCTGGAAACCTTGGTCGTGGGGATTTGTCATTCCGTTTTGAGGCCTTGCTGGGGGGCCCCGTTGGAAGTTTCCTGGAGCCGAGGGTGCTGGTGGGCCGGCACCGACTGGAATTGGGGGGACGCCGCTGGTTGGGCCAGTTGGTGCGAAGAGTTGGGCGGGTAGTTGCTGGGGGGTGATTTGTACATTGTGTTTCTTTGCCTGCGCTGCGAGGAGGCGTTCGGCTTGGTCTCCATGACGTTCTCCCTTTCCGTCTTTCTTGTAGGCGTACTGGACGTTGATTTCTTTGTTCATGAGGAATTGGTTGTGCATGGATTCTATGGCTTTGTCGGATGCTTCGAAGGAATCGTAGGATATGAAACCGAATCCTTTGGAGATTCCTTGGTCGTCGCGGGCAATCTATACGGTCATTAGAAATCCTGTCACATAGTACGAAGTGTGTTCGCAAAGCGCACCTTTGGAGCAGAAACTAAGTTCCCAAAAGTAGTGAATGTATCAAACAGTGTCTTTTCATCCACCATTGGATCCAAATTCCCCACAAATAGTTCTGCGCCGACCTCAACGGTTTTCTGTTTATCCGCCGAGGCCTTATTCACTCGAATAGGCTTTCCGTATAGACGGACTTGGTTCATTATCCGCGCCGCATATTCTGCGTCTTCCTCTGAGATGAACTCGACGAAACCGAACCCTTGGTGAGTTTGCGTTACGCGGTCTTTCGGCAAGTGGACATTTACCTAAAGAAATTTGTTAGAATTGTAGATCAGAATGAAAGGAGGAGGAATATGAACTATTCGGCCAGCTTGCAGCATGAGCTCCCATACTAGCGCATCTGATACTCGCTCGTCCAGGTTTCCGATGTAAACTGTCGCCTCCTTGTCTTGCTCCCAATGGCGAGCCCCGGACATGTTTAGCGGTTTGGAAATGTGCGGCCCTTGAGTGGTATTACAGAGCTTGAGATATATCGGGGGCGGTTGGAATTATGAAAACGATGAACTGAGAAAGACACCAGATCTAGGTCGGGGACAAGAAGGTGAGAGAAATGACGAGTAGAGCAGCTCAATGGAAAACGCGAATGCCGGGTAACTTGGACACAGCCATTCCTTGAGGGCCTCACTCGATGAAGTTACCCGGCTTCCGACTCAAGCGAAAATAGCAGTAACCTCAATAGCGTCATTGCCTACAAAATTTCAAGCTTAAATTTACCATACACAAAAAATTCAGAAACCAAAAATATCAAAAATGCCGCTGCGCCTTGTGCAAGGTTTACCGCAGAGCTCCAGGATCTGGATTACTCAGTTAAATACATGGACACCGTTCTTATACCCATTTCTGGCCCCAGGCATTGCGGCACGACCCCTCACCCCCACCCTATCACGGCCCCACCGTCGTGCCCTGTCAACCACTACAGAACAGCCAGAGTTAAGAAGTAATGTCAATTCAGTACAGCATCAATTGGTAGAAGAGGATGTAGAACTGGTATCGGTCCAGCAGCCCCAGCATCCCTATGCGGAATACTCCACTGCCCCATTTGCGGATATGCAAGAGTTGACTCTGATTGCTGGCTCTGGTGGCAACGGCTGTGTTTCATTCTTACGAGAGAAATTCATCCCTTACGGCCCCGCAAACGGCGGGAATGGCGGCAGCGGAGGTTCGATATTCGTTCAAGCTGTCTACGGCGAGACATCACTTCATAAGCTCTCCCGAGAAGGCACGATTCGGGCAAAGCCAGGAAGAAACGGAAAGGGTAGCTCTATCAACGGGAAGCGAGGGGACGACGTAATTATTCGGGTCCCCGTTGGCACAGTTCTCCGGGAAATCTCCCGCTGGGACCCAGTAGGGGAGGAGTTGGAGGAGCTGCCGGATGGGGATGTTGGCGATAAATCTAAACAACATGGCCGTCACGACGAATGGGTTCATTACCCACGCAGCGCCGCTGAGAACACCATGAGCGAGGGCTTCATGGCGGTAAAGTACCCGAAGACTCACCACTTAAGCGCTTCGACGATGCTAGAAATTACCCATCCGCGGAACGTGTATTTGGACCTCTCAAAGCCGACTATGGAACCTATATTACTAGTGCCTGGAGCTCCGGGGGGGCTTGGGAATCCAAACTTCGTAACGGATGGCCGACGAAGGCCGATGTTCGCGACGAAAGGTGGGAAGGGGATTCGAATGAAGATCCAACTAGAGCTGAAAATGCTCGCGGATATTGGGCTCGTTGGGCTGCCCAACGCCGGGAAATCCTCCTTCTTACGGGCGGTCTCCGGGCGGAAAGCTAGAGTGGGTGAATGGGCGTTCACAACCTTAGCGCCAAACATTGGAACAGTAGTGATGGAGGAGCGTCACCTCCCACCGCCCAGACCCGGAGAGACGCAGAAACGCCTCCCAAGGTTCACAATCGCTGACATCCCCGGACTAATCGCCGACGCCCACTTGAACAGAGGCTTGGGGCATGGCTTCCTCAGACACATTGAGCGTGCGAAAGCTCTCTGCTTCGTCATCGACCTTTCCCGCGAAGACCCAGTCGAGGACTTAAAGGGCCTCTGGCGAGAGATAAAAGCCTACGAGCAAGGCTTCGTCGGAGACGAAGGCGAGTCAACCGTGCGCGGGATGATGAGCGAAATGAGTGGCGAAACGCACTCCGACGACCGCTTCATTGAACCGATGGCTGAAGCTTGCGAGCCTGAACGTAGACGCACTCCTACCACCATGCACATACGTTTCAACGAAGAGGATGGAACTTTCGAATACTTTGAGCCAGAGTCTGGCTTCGTGTTCAGTCAGAAACCCAGGAATGAGCCTCCACGAATGACTTCGAAGCGCTGGTTTGTCATCGCTAATAAGGCGGATCTGCCAAATACTGAAGGGAAGTTCGTGGCGTTGCAGAGATACTTGGAGACTGAGAAAAAGAGGAGGGGGGATAGGGAGGATATTGGATTGTTACCTATTAGCGCTTTGAAGCAGGAGGGGGTTGAGGCTGCGGTCGATTGGATGAAGTCAATTCTGGGGTTTTTGTAGCTTGCGCTATTCATATGGACATGGAATAGATATCCTTCTAGATCAATATCGTGTGATCTGAGGTGTCGGGGTGTCGCTCACCACATATCACTCGGGGTTCCCCAGCTTGCAAATAGGTTTCTTGTGACGCCTAACTTGGGGGTTAGACCTAAGCAGCATTATCATAAGCGTTTCCTTAAGCCATACACTTATCACCACTTGTGACCCCCGATCTTAAATTCAGGCACAATGCTTTGAACAGGATTGTCAAGTCAGTCATCGAATCCGCGTCTGCCCTCATCCTTTCCTCCCCGTCCTTCCTGGGGACGTGGGGGTAGCCCCGGAGAAGGACATAGCATGGGACACATGAACCTTGGTTTTGGTGGCCGGCTAATCCCCCCTTGAAAGAATTATATATGGTGTTGACGATGCGGATTGCTAGAATCTACCTATGTCTACCCCCTTCACCAGTTTGGTACCGGCCATATATTGTAGTGTTTGGGCAACTCCCGGTCCTGATAGGCCTAGCTCGTGGGTTTATTCTGCGGGGGCCTGTGAGGGAGGCCAAGGGAGCGAACAAAAACTCAACCTAATTTGACTAGTATTAGGAATCTCGGATACTACGGCGGTGAGACGTGAGAATCACTACTACTCGAACTTTCATAACCCACAAGCTGCGAAACAGTTATAATATTATTACGCAAGTGGCTGGCGCAGTATTTTGGCAAACCAAGGGAAAGAGATATGAGCGGAGTGGGCCACTGGGTTATGAGAATTTTGGTATCATAACGGAGGATGTTTCTGTTGGGAGAGGGTACCCTCACTCGGCTCCAGTAACCTGGGTTGGGGCACTGAGGATTCCAGCAGCTTTGCTTCTGGGCGATTGAGATATATCTGCTCCTCGCGATTACCTATAGGCACAACCCTCGAACGAGGTCATAAGTACCTTCCTATTAGCACCTATCCACACACCCCTACCTGCGCGAAAGCCACGGTAGGACACACGAGTATAGTGCTATGCGAAATTACAGTTTTCCCAGAATAGGAAATCACGTCGGTAATGAAAATGAAATTTATTGGTGCAAGGAGGACTTCCCAGCTCACTTATATCATTCACCTCTGCGTATATACGCAAGGGCTGAAGGGGAAGATTTCCAGAAGAAAAAAAGCTCTCAAAGAACACTGAATACGTTAGGCCTTCCCAGAACTAGCACATTATCCGACCCTCCCCACTCAGAATTGTGCCAGTAATTTTCCGGACACTGGCAGCACTTGCCATGGGGTGGGAGGTAACGCTACCGTTTTCCGGATAACTCTACATTTCGAACGGAGGGGCTGTGTTCAACTTCCGTGAGAACAGAAGCATTCTATCCCTGAATTTACTTCTTCTGGCGGGTTTGCGCCGGCATGTAATTTGTCCTTGACGATTACTATCAACTGTGAGAGCCGCCACTTTGCTACGGAAATTGATGAAAGTACCAGCCTTGAGCCTGCCTAGTTCTAATGGTGCGGAGCCGCTGTGGTCTTAGGTGTTTAGTTTGGCAGTGGGGGCGAGTGATATTATGTGTATTGTTACAAGGCTACTGCTAAGGACTGTGGTAGGGAGTGATCGTAGGACGGACGGCAACAGAGATCGACCCTCCCCCCCCCGAAGTATCAACAATGCATGAAATCGGGATTCTTTATTTAGAAGCGGCTTCGGCAACTTTAGCTGTGTCTGGTATGTGTGGGAACATGGAATACCTTCAGGACATTCTAAGACGCCCTATCTTTAGAGTGCACTGGGGTACGGAAGTCATTGAGAGTATTACCGTAAGTTTAGCAGCCTGCCTCCTCCCACAGAGTAGCGCTCACAGCCAACGGGCTAGAGAAAGCTACAATTATTCATCCACGACGTATGATACATGTATCATCTATACAACGAAAAACATCAACCTCTCCTAAAGCCAATCGCCCACGTGAGTAAAACTGAAAAAAAACCACAAAGCGACCCGCCACTGCCGCCCCGTTCTAGCACCAATAAATACCACCAAGTCCGAAGAGCCTCCAAGGCCTACTACGCTGCTCCGCGAGTCTCCTCGCGGTCCTGAGTTCGGCCAAGTACTCCCGCACCGAAACACGGTTTTCACTCATGTGCAGCGCCGCATCGACAATTCTTGCTGGGAAATGCTCTAGCAACTCCACAAGCTCCATGGCTTCATCTTGCTTCACCTCTGACTCCCCCGGGTTGCGGTTGTTTATCTTAAAGAGTAACACTGCGTTAGTAGGGCTCATTCTTGGCACTTCGACGGTCCGACAGCCTAGCCCAGAAGTCAGGTGGAGGGACCTTGCTGTAAAGATTATCATGCCGTTCGGGCTCTTGGGGAGGAACCCTCGTTATGACCGCTTCGTCTGTAAGGTTGTCGAAAACTAGGAGCCAGTTTCGCCTGGAAGGGGATTCGGGCTCTGATTTCACGACTGAGAGGAGGTTTTCATAGCTGCTAGTGTCGTTGGCCATCGTGTTGTTAGTATTTTTCATGGCAGTAGTTTTGTTAATGGGGTCCTCGGGGATTGGGAGTCGTTTGTCGGCTGATTTTGCGGACGGTATCGTGTCCCCATATGCCCGGTTGAGGAAGTTGGTGTGTGCTAGCACTGTTTTTCAGGAGATCTAAAATGTGCTGGAAATCTTTTGCAAGGGTGGTGGGTTTAAAACAACAAGGATTACGGCAGCGATTTGGACAATGTTGACTTAGGCAGGGCAAAGATGTAAAGATGAATTTCAATATCCTAACTGGAGAAATATTCTCACAAAGAACAACGATAGGTAATAAAAAACAGGAAAGACTGATATGACCCAAATGCGAGTAACGGAGGAAAGAGAGACAGATTGGATAATGAACGAAAACTATTAACCAAGGGAAAACAAGCTGCCTTTTATCATTCCCTAGATCATACTGATCTGCTTCCACATACTTCCAGCGTATGCCGTGTTCTCCATCACATTCAGTTTCACTATTGTCCACTTTGCCACTTCGGCCAAGGATAAGTGAATTCGACCGAGGGTATGCTCTGGCCGAGGACATTCGGTATTTCCATATGATAGGGGTAACACCCTAACACGGAGTTGTCACAGGTATCATCGCAGATGTTGTCACATATGGTGTTTTATGTGTAGGACTAACCAGTAGTCAAACATAGAGGTGTCAGAGTAGTTGATACCAAGAGGGTTAGTGTTGTGGGGTCTTTGCCATAAGGGAAATGTGCGGTGAGCAGCCAAGAAACACTTCCGTCCAACAGTGGGAGTGCTTGCATCTGCCCAGAAGATGTCGTAGGTATGCCAGCGGTATATCTGCATAAGTTTGATGGCGACTAGGGTTTTTCTGGGGGAGGGGTAGAGTTATGAGTTAGTCTGTGCCTGGTGGCCGGGGTAGTGATGTGATGATCTTCGGATGAGATTAGGTTTGAGTTTATGCAACACATGCCCGGCACCAGATGGCCCGTAAAAGTCAATCCCATCGGGGCCTTTAGCTTTGAGCTCTGCGATTGTTTCATTGGGGTCTGATCGTATGTGTTCGGTGATCCCTTCTTAGGGGACGAACGTCTGAATCTCGTAGTGAGAGCACTTCCAATCTGCTGGGGTTGCTGCTAGATAATACCACTACTTAGGTCTTGTCTTCCCCTCAAGTTTTCCACTAGTCACGATTCGAGTGATGGCTTACCGTGTGCCCCCGAAGAAGCCGATTATAGTGGCCGACATTTGATGGGCTGGAGACAGGGTAATTGGCACCGTAGTTTCCTACCATACGGATATTTCCCTCCCATACGCATTCGGATCTACTGATACGATTAATTCCAGTATCATACGTCTAAAAGAATTGTTACATGGTATTCGGCGATGTCGATAGAACTCGTTGATAAAAATAATAATAATTTTTTTAAAAAGAATTAGACCCCTGCCTACCCAATTGGAGCTTATATGAGATCTGAGGGAAAGTGTTTTCCAATATCTATCGACATGTCGGACTAGCGGCACTCAAACAGCTGGTGGGGCTTCAATGTGTGCCCGTAATGTCTAGACGTTTGCAGAACGGACTGCTATTGCATACTACCGAAATTCTGGGGATCTAGCCAATCATTATCAAGTGGACAGTATCTCCGGTATTACAGAAGGGAACTTCTAATCTCTTTCTATGTACGGTACATGAAGATAAAGGTGTGCAAGTATGTCTAGACCAACTGGTAAGGCCGCTACCCCCCCGGCAGAAACAATCACACAGAGAAATAAATATGGATACAGGTACCAATCTAAAAAAATGAACAGGCACCTAGATCACCGAGATCTCATGACTTTCAAATGCCGAGGTAATCTCTCCGCTTCGCTGGCCCCTTCCGCACGCTGCAACAGCGAGGCCATATTTTTCAAATTTGTCAAAGTCTGTGGATGATTTAATCCCAGCACCCTCTCGCTACCTTCAAGAGCCCAGCGACACATTTCCTCTGCCTCATCATACATACCTAAACCGGCGAGAATCGCGGCTAGGTTGTCGGCACTGACAAACGTATTGGGGTGATCCAGCCCAAGTTTCTTCTTTCTTTCTTCAAATACGCGCCTCTGCATCTTCTCTGCATCTTGATACCTATGGCGGTAACATAAAAACAACGCTAGGTTCTCGACACACGTCAAGGTTTCTAGGTGCTCCTCCCCGTATAATTCCGTACAGCATTTTAGCGCTCTTAGAGACACCTCCTCAGTTTCCTCGTTTTTTCCTTGGTCACGCAATACCGAAGCTAGATTTCTGAGGCTGCTTAGAGTAGCTTCGTTTATTAGGCCTAGTGTCTTCTCTCTCGTTTCAAACACACGTCGCTGGAGTTTCTCTGATTCCTCAAATTGCCCAAGATGGTGGAGGAGTAAAGCCAGGTTATTCACGCTCAGTAGCGTTATCATACTCTCTGGACCTAGGGCTTTCTCCCTCCCTTCAACCACAGTCCGGAGCACCGTCTCTGCTTCATCGTACCTCCCTAATCCCTGCAGTACCGAACTCAGATTACCCATAGCCATGAGAGTGGACTTGTGGTCTGGCCCCCATATCTTCTGATACCCCTCGAACGCACGTTGCGCGGGTTGTTCTGCTCCGGCATATTCCCCCAACTCTAACAACACCATGACCCAGCCATCGACACTGGATAAGGTATCAGGGTGCTCTGGCCCCAGTTTCTTTTCCCGTCCTTCAAGTGCGTGTCGGTAATACTTTTCTGCTTCTGCGTACCTCCCGAGCCTCTGTAGCATAACCCCGTGCTTATGGAGACTAGAAAGTGTGTCAGGGTGTCCCGGCCCCAACACTCTCTGCCTAGTATCCAATACGCGTTTATTCGTCCTTTCTCCTTCATCATATTTTCCTAGAGCGTCTAGAATCCAAACAAGTGCACTGGCGCTCTTCAGTGTGTCGGGGTGCTCTAATCCAAGAGTCTCCCCTATACCCCCAAGTGCACGTCGGCTCAGTCTTTCCGCCTCATCGTACTTTCCCCAATCTCGCAATAAGAGGGATAGATTGCCGAGGCTTGCAAGTGTATCAATATTACTGGGGCCCAATTTTTCTTGTCTGCCTTCTAGTGCACACCGATTTAACTTCTCCGCCTCATTATGCCTCCCTAACTGCCCCAGTACTAAAGCAAGGTTATGGGCGCTTGTTAGAGTATCGAGGTGATCTGATCCAAGCACCTTTTCCCTTCCTTCAAGCACACGCCGGAAGATATTTTCGGCCTCCTCATATCTACCCCTTGCCACCAACACCGTAGCTAGAAGACTAGATCTTGCTAGTGAGCCGCAGTCGTTTTCGTCTGTGTCCCCTTCAAGTTGAATGCAGCGCCGAATTTGAACCTCCGCGTCATTGTAATGGCCGATACTCTGGAGATGCATGGCCACACGGTAATGAACAGGACTAACCAAAGGATCATCCGAATTCTCAAGGATGGCAAGTGCGTGCGGAAGGTAGGAAGCACAGATATCCCGCACGTTGTGCTCGTGCGGAGGAAATAATCTCAATATCACACTTAATCCTGTTCTGCTCCATTTGCGCACCTCCTCCTGCTTTAAGTAGACTTGAATGGAGTGTTGTACCAATCTGTGAAGTTCATACACAGCTGCGCCCTCTGCCCGGGTGACAAGCGAGAAGTTCAAGAGAGCTCCGATTGCCTTGCGGAATTCGATTGGGTCATTCATTCCCTCTAAGCCGGATTTAACAAGCAATTCTTCCGGTATTTTCTGACGGTCAAAAAAGGCAATCAGCCGGAGAAGGTCTGCGCCCTTTGGGGATTTCTCATTTATCCGCTCGAAAGTGATAAAGTAAGTGCTCAGAATGCTCTCCGTCATGTCTACCTCCCGACGGATATCGCAGAACTGTTCTGAAAGTAGCGCTTTCCGCCGCTTATTACTCTCCTGAAAAATTTTCCAGTACTCGGATGGAAATATCTGTGTCTCAGTCATGAACGCTGCCGCGCCAACTATAGCCAAGGGAAGTTGATCTAGGACGTCAAGCAACATGTCAACAGCCTCGAGGTCATGATCCTGCAATCCAACTGTTTTGCCAAACCGCTGAAAGAAGAGCTCCCTAGCTTCCTCAGTCCTCATCTTCCCCACTTCAACAACACTACAACCTTGGCGGCTAGCTACCACTCTCGATCGTGTTGTAATAACGATCTTTCCGTTAGAACTCTGCGGTACGAATCTCGATATAGGACTTTTATTGCCCGAAAAGTCCGCCTCGTTATCGGCGTTATCAATAATCATGATCCAGCTCCCGCTAGCCGGAGACTCAAGCCATCTCTTGACCTCTGATAGCTGTTCGTTCTCACTTGGTTCGGGGCCCCCTTGGGATATTCCCACGGTTTGGAAAATGCGTCGGTAATCCTCGCCGAATTTCAGAAAGCTGCTTCCATGCACCCAGAATACATGGCTCAGGCCTTTGCGCTGGTGAACATACTCCAGTGCAATTTGGGTTTTGCTAACATACAGGACGTTAGCAATGTACTGTACATTATATTTAAAATACCAGGTCTAGAGAAGAATCGGGAAGCACACATACCCAGCACCACCTAATCCGTACAGAGCGACACGATTGTAATTCTGATCTTCTAACAGCTCCTTTAGGCGTGCAATTATATCTTTACGTCCCGTGAATGTGTCGTTGCGGCAAAAGGCGACCATCCAGTGAAATTCGGGTTCTGTAGAATGTTAGGTTCAAGATTGCTAGCCGATGCAACAATAGTAACGTATCTACCCTTAGAGTTGCTCCCGCCGGGCCCATAATAATAATAGTTAATGGTGTGGTTGTTGCTGTTCACGTTTCCACTGTTGTTCCCCGAGATGAAGCTCTGGGTATTTCTGTTGGGTTAAAGGTCAGTTCTGTTCCTAAGACAGTTAGATAAAGAGGGCTCGTACTGGGAGAAGAAGTTCTGCAAGCTCGCCCACATCCCACTACATCGAATCTGGGCCAGGGCTCAGGTCGCAGGAAAATCAGGTTATGGTGATGGATAAAGGGTGAGGGTTGAGGAGAGGGGTTGAAAAATACTACAACTCAACTTATAATAGTCAAAATACCGCATCAAGCGAGCAGATAGTGCCGGCTTACTTGCACTCTAGCCTCCTGAAATCCGTCTTCCTAGCGCCGGTGGCACCGGGCGGTTAGTAGCGTCTAACCTAAGCTTGGCATAATGATTCAACCTAATTGGAAAGCTAGACGGATAAGAGTTGCTAGGTATGCTGATCGAAAGTATCCTGATACAGTACGGTACCGTACCTCTTTCGCTTAGAATTCTCTGTTGTTCGACCCGCATCCCAGTCGGAACACTATCTCCTAATCTCGATTCCCCAGAATCCTCTGGTTCTCGATTCCTAACACATAGTGTAAAACGTAGAATGCTAGCGCATACTGTGTATTTGAACCCCCAGAGATTCACCAGTTGGTCAGTTAGATACTGTTGGGGTTCCTAGCCTCGGGCGGTGGGAAAGTGAGGGCTGGAGTGGATGATCTAGTGCAAAGCGCGAGCAGGCAGCGGAAAAGCCAGAAGTAATATGCTGAGTCCAACATAGCTCGAGATCCCTCTGCTGAGCCTGGTGGAAGAATCCACCCACAGTTAGGCGCCTTAGAACCCCCCCCCACCTGAAACCCGATCTGCCCGACTATTTTCCAGGTTCAGCACGTGCACTAGAAAGGCCAATCTTTTATAAGGGGACCGCTAAACACTATTAACCGATCCAACATCCAACATCCAAATGTTCACAATTTTCCCTAGAGATTGCAAGTTCTCGAGGCCTGAGAGGTCTGTATTTGTTCACGGGAGAAATTCATTGCCATCAGCACTCTTTTGTGAAGGTGAGCGCCCTCCTGGAACGCCCCGGAAAATTTGATAGTAGGCGGGGTTATTATTGCCTGTGCAAACAACCATCCACCGCAATGCAGCCGTCTTCCGGGTGATAATAGATGTGTAGCAGATGACCCTAACGAGCTATCTTTTCTCCCTAAGTTTCCCCCCGTATGGCACAACTGCCTGATGCCCCGAGGCTCTTAGAGAACCTACTATGCCATACCATAAACACCGTAGGTTATAATTTTATAGGCTTATGCTATAATTATGGAAAGAGGTAGGTACAGTTGTGTCCGTAAAGTCTTCATACCCTGGCGGCGCAACCACACAACCACAACACCTCTCCATGGAAAATTGAAAAAAAATTCAAACAACTCAATTAAGAAAAGTATATGAATAGAACTAATAAGCCTTAAGAAAATATTATTACCACTTTGTATGACCACCATCTGCATCTAGTACAGCCTGTATTCTCTCAGGCATCCTATCTATCCACCTATCCAACTTCTCTTGGGAAATTAAATCCCATTCCTTCTTTGCTGCCTGAAATAATTCAGCAGCACTGTGAGGCCTCCTATCCAACCTGGAGAATCGATCTCTGAGGGCTCTTTTGAGCAGAGCCCAAGTGTTCTCAATAGGATTGAGATCTGGTGAGTTGGGTGGCCAAGGCAATTTTTGATAACCACAGTCTGACTGCAATTTTCTGTTTTCCTCACCACCATGCCAGGAGGCATTGTCTGCTGCTAGGTAGATGTTGTCAGAAGGTCTATCCAGACCTTCTATAAAAGGGATGAGGTATGGCTGCTGGATTTCAGTTGCATATTGGTGGGAATTAAGGCCAAGTCTGTCTCTTTTGCTGGTCCTTTCTTCCTCCCTCCTCTTCCTTACAAGAATTAACTCAGTCCTGCCACCCTTCATGATTGCAGCATAGACCCCAATACTAGTCCTCCCAGACTTAAAGCTAGGCTTCAAGTTTTTTTCTTCCAGCTCTTCACCAGGTCTAACTCTGACCTTCCTGCCAGTAGGATTTGGATCATAGATAATGGTAGCTTCATCCACAAAAACAACCCAATTCCATGCACCCCTCCAATTCCTCCTTCTCCTAGCAAACTCCTTTCTCTTCTCCTTCTGTCCTTTCCTCCAAAAAGGTTTTTTTCTAGGTATCAGAAGCTTAAAACCAGCTTCTGATATGATCTTATCCACAGATATCTTTCCCAGACCAATATTTGCTTTTTTGGTAATGTCGCATAATGCTAAATGAGGCTCAGCATCGATAATGGACTCCACTATCTTTCTTTTTTGAGGGGTAATTGTTGTTGGTCTTCCAGATCTGGGGGCATCATGGGTATTTCCATCTCTTGATTCAGCTCTTTTGACTACTGATTGAACAGTTGCCTTAGAGATACCCATAACCTTAGAAATTTTATTATACCCCATATCAGTATGTTTATACAGGGCATAAATTTCATTATTTTGGTCTTCTCTAGCTCTTTGGGTATGAGGAGGGATCATGGTAGAGGCAGTTGTTGTGGGGATGGAGGACAACACCGTTGCCGCGCCGGGGTATGAAGACTTTACGGACACGACTGTACGGTAGTTGTTTCTCGTGATTCTTACTGCTTCTTCAGATTTCTTGACCAGGTACTAGAAGTGTCCAGCCATAAGTCTAAAAATGGCTATTCCCCGTGTAAAGTGGCCTTCTACCCAAACCTCTTTGCACACTGTACAATGCAGTCGAATAGAATACCCAGTACCATCAGCACGAACCGTTCATACCATACCGAGCCCCTCGAACGAACACACCATAACCCCCCCTGCAAATCCCAAGAAAACAAAACTATTGAATAAATAATCACCACAAAACTTTGCACCATAGCTATCGACGAGGCCAGGAACACCCTCGGACCACATGGCCAAGACCAAGCATAGTGCAAATGCTAAACGGCAATTCGATATCCAAAAACCCCTCAGCAAACTCACAGCTCCGTATCATGTGGTAAAGCGTTCCTGGTCTGCATTCAGCAACACAAGTATTATTTCACAACTTCCAAAATGTTTTAACCTTTCAACCTGGTAATAAGTTTTCCAAGCGTGCAGTGGATAGTGAGGAATAGTGACTCGCTCCTGGGCCTCTTGATACTTCCCGGGGTTCGGGTTCGAGCCTCACCGAGCCTGTTATCATATTTAATCCCCTCACGGAATGTGTGATGGGCTGGAGGAGCGACTCAGCGCATGGTACATAGCATACGCAGCTCCAGGTGACCAATGTGGGGCGCCTGCTCCTCCGTTTTCTGCGATGAGCCGGCCATGCATGGCAGCCCGTCTTCTGTCCTGGTATGATAGTTAGGGATGAGCGGGAGGTAAGAGTAGGACGAGTGATCGGTGGGTGATCTAGGGATTTGTTGTGATTTCTGTAATCATGGTGATCACTCGAAATTGTGGTACTAAGGAAATTTTCACAGCAAACTTAAGCATGGGAGCAAACCTCTCTCCTAAAATCCATGATTGTCTCAGAGCATACCAGCCTCTAATTGACCCCCTACGTAGGGAAATTGCGACTAACAGCCAACAAAAAACAAGACCCGAAACAAGAAACTCCCCATTCACAGGTGTCACGATATCACATCTATTCAACGCACGTACGGGTCCCCCCCCCTCCCATTACCGCACAGAGGCAGGGCTCCTAAACCCGTCCTCCCCAAACGGGGAGTCAATCCTAACAGTGGTACTCCTAACATCCGGCAAAACCAGCACACTCTCCCCATTACTTCTATAATCCGTTTCGCAACTAGCGCCCTCTCCGCCTTGTTCTATCGGGACAACCTGCTTAACCTCCACATTCGGCAGCAGCAAATTACCCGCCTTCAATGGCACCAGCAAAACCGGAAACTTGTGAACCTGCCCTTCCTTCGCCGAAAAATGCGCTCTCTTCCTGCCCGACACCAACCATACCTCGAGGGAATGCTGGATCTCATAAAAGAATTCTAGCTCATCGTCGTTGCCGATTTCAACTTCGCCATTTTTGACATCCAGGGAGTTCCAGCTACGGGAGTGGCGGATTATTAATTCTGCGGGAATGGGTTGTCCGACGGTTACCATTGGTGGTGCGTATGGAGAGGAGAGGGTGGTGGAGTTGGTGTCGGAGAGGATGTGGATGTCTACTGTATGGATTACCTGTAGTTGGGGGACATCGACAGGGATTATTATCGAGCGCGTGGTTAGGACGAGGTTTTCGGGAGGGGTTTCGGGGTCGAGTTTTATTATAGAGTTTTTCTATGGAAGTTAGACCGGTAAGCGTTTTTAACGAAGGGAAGCTTGTGAGGGATACCTCGTAGAATTCTCTAAGCCAGGCTTCGGCTTTTTCTCGTGCGCCGTTGGCGGGGCTAATTGACTCTAGAGCTTCATCCCAGTTATAATTGTCATATTTGCCTAACTTTACTTCATTGAGCAGTCCCGCAGCTTCCAAGTCGTGGGCTGTTCTATGGCGTAGTCTAGTAATCAGTATGGGTACTAGCAAACGAGAATAAAGGTCTAGTCCAGCCTCTTCCAGTTGAGAACTAAAGGCCGCCACAACTGAGTCTTGGACCTCTGCTGGGTGTTAGCAAAGTCTGGGTAGATTACATGATGATGGTTGTGGAAAATACCTTCATCAAGACTTCTATATTCAATTGTCAATGCCAGAGGCTGTGGTTCTTTGTCTTTGGGTACGTCATCTCCAGTTTTCCGAGTGATTTTGTACACAAACGAAGCCGGCTGTTTAGCAAAAACCACCTATCAACCAAGAAATTAGTATGGTGCCCAAAAGTATCCGCAGTAAGTAATACCATAGATCCCTCAGTCCCTACACCACTACAAGCCCCAAAAGTTCTTGAGCCCTCCAAACTCGCCTTCAAAACCCGCAAAGGGACATCAGGAATAGCTGTTGATACCTGAAATCTGGAAAACAAGGCATTTGGCTTGAATACATCCTGGACATTGACAGCTAGAGGTAAGATCACAGGAACACTCAACCCGTCGGCGTAAAAGAAGTTTCCGTTATCGGTATCGTAGTCAACCTCCACCTTGATAGCCAGTTCTGTCAACTCGTTTTCGCTAGTATATGGGATTCTAAATCGCACATTCTTCTGTTGGGTTAAATCCTTGAGGGCAAATACTCCAGGCTTATCTCCCGTAGAAACAACATCTAATCCTTCGAGGAACCTCACACTCGCCGTCATAAGCCTTAACCCAGCAGTCGCTGATCGAAGCCGAATTTCACCCTTGGCTACATTGTTCTTGCCAGGGTCTAGGACAAGTTCGGTTGCTTTCATATGTTCTAGATGTATCTGCTTTGGCGCCTCCAATTTAACCACTAAACTCCTAGGTGCTGGATAGAACAATAACTTCATCTTCTTGACCGTGGGCACAGCGGGTATCGACGTGGATCCCAAACTGAGAGCCGTATTCGGAGCGGATTTCGTTATGAGTTCGTGAACAAAGTGGAGATTGTTGGCTATCAGGATAATTTTGTCCACGATATAGCTTCCGGGAATTGTTATGCTGCTCCTTGCGAAAACTTTGACAACACCCCTCTTCATGGTGATTGGCCCTAGAGCGTCCATCCATACCTCTTTTACCTGCCCAATGGTATTGACGATCCTAACTCTAAGCTTTTGAACCTCCATTTCTTCCTCGAGGAGATAACGCATCTTGACCAGGACTTCAAAACCATCCCTATCATCTAGATGTCTAGGATACGGGTCAACAACAATGTTGTCCCAGAAATGAGACATTGGTGTTGTGATCTCCTTTTCAATCTCTAGTGACAAAGTGATGATCTTTTCAACACAGCCATCTACGCCAACCTCCTCAAGATGTTGACCATCGAACAAAGTGTCAACCGACGCAGCTCTCTCGTCGCCATCAAGCGCCGTTATACCTCTTCGGCGAAGACGAGCCCTTTCTGCTGCGGAACTTTTCGCGAGCAACTTCAAAAGTACTTTAATATAATCCTCTGATCTGTTCATCTCCCTCAAGCACTTGGCGTACATTCCCAACAGCGTCGTCTCAATCAAGCCCCACCCTTGGTCGGCGTAGAACTTCGTCATCTTCTCAAGGTGCTTGACGGAGGAGGCATAATCTTTCAGGTGGCTTTGGTCAATCGATACGTTAGCCCTCACTGGTATTCACAGTTGGTGACAGGAACTCTTACAAGCTCAGTGCGGCCAGGTCAGATTCAACCCTCTCGCAGCTCTTGGTTCTCTTGGCGATACTATAGTTCTTCATCGCCTTCTCACTCAATTCCTCGAAAATTGTATAAAACTCCTCCTCCTCCTCTTTCTCAACAACTCTCCTCAAGGTTGCATTTCGAATTCCTTCAACGCCCCAAATCTCTTCCTTCTTTTCAACCTCCTTATCACCTTTACCTAAGTCAACTCCAACCATGCCCGCGTCCTTAACGTGTTCTTCAGGAAGATAAAACCACCCCATTTTTCCTACCCATCCTTGCCGCTTTCCAAAAGTTTCGACAACCCCCCTAGCTAGCAGCATTAAATCTGCCCTTACCGCAGCAAAGTCCTCTAGCCCCGTGACAGATGTCTGAATGACCTGTGTAAAGCTAGTAGCTTCTGGGTTCGGAGTTGGTGGAAGGCTGCTACTTCTCCTCGGAAATGGAGTCGAAGATGTGGCTGCAATGGGGGTAGAGGTGTTGGGGCCCTCGGGGAGTGATGCAGATGCAGTCTGCTTGAGTAATTGTTGACAAACAGCAAAGACCCAAGATGACACGATATTGTCAATGACCCAGGTGACATCCTTTTGCTCCTGCTCTTTGTCACCCTCGCCTTCGGTTGAAGAATGGTAGGAAGTCCAGAGATCCGCCCGTAAAATACGGCCCACACTTGTGACGAATTCCACTCCACGCTTAAGAACTTCTGACAATCTAGTGAGATCCTCTTCGGGCCTTCCTGCCGCTACTGCCGCTGCCTCATGTAAAGAATATCCGCTAATAGGTATCGGTACCTCCACGCCATCCATCCCATTGCCCTTCCCCAGGCGAAGTAACAGTGTAGATTGCCGCGCAAATAGATACGTCTTAAAGTCGAATAGGGATATTTCGTTCGATAGTATCAGCTCTCGATAAGGCTTCTTTTCGGAGCCCACGGGTGTCTCGTCATCTACATCTTCCTGCTCTTCACCCTTCCTGCCTTCCAATCGAGCCTTCCGCCGCCTCCTTGCTTGTTCAATCCACTTAATGCTCTCTTTTGTCCAACCGACAAAGTTTCCTCCAACCACGCCTTCAGGATCTCCCTCGATTTTCTCTTTATCTCGCTGATCCCGAACAACGGCATCCAATCCAAAACCTAACTCATCGTAGAGAATCAGAGCATCCTCAACCAGCCCGACAGATTCAAATGCTCTCGCAAGGCCTTCCTTAAGGACGAAAAATGTGCAAAAGTTCCACCCCGGGAGTCTCCGCTGGCTATCTTTCTCCCTAATATCCTCCTCATACTGGCTAACTCTTGCATCAAAACTAGCCAGTATCTGAGTCTTTAACTTGGCAATGAGATCCAACCACGCCATCTCACTTTCCGTAGGGCTTTCCGTAGCAGGTACAATTTGGTTCCCAACTAGGACTGGAGGACTCAGAGTAGCTAATGCCGGATGACTAGGGCCGATGCGTATCTGAACAACCCTATCCTTTTTGTTATTTCCGGAATTGAAATCGCTGCGAATCTTGTCCAGTAAAGTTGTGTTCCCTTTAATCCACCGCGAGCTCCCAGAAGTATTCGATGCGGACGAGGACGACCTAGGTTGTTGTGCTGCTGGGGTTCCAGGAAGAACCACATGGATTATTAGCCATTCGAAAGCATCATGTTGTTTGTTCTCATTCGATGCGCTGGTCGTGTGCTCCGACACCCACTCCCGTAACGCCTTCCTAGCTACGTTCTTGTAACTATCGTTGTCATCGCACCGTAGGAGGAGAATCTTCAGATAGGGGGTATTCCGTAGTCCGGGTATCTGATGCCTCCGTTCCTTCTGATGTCCGGCACCCTTGGCCCCTCGGACCGTCTCGATCGACCGCTGTGAATCGGTGCTTTTAACCCTAGTAAGACCCACCCCAGCGAATCCAGGATCTTTGCTGGCGGGCGAGAGGTAAGGAGTTAGCTCAACATGAAGGGAATTTATGGAACGTAGAGGTCGCGCTGGAGCCTTCCAGTGAAGATTGCGCAGGGGTAAACGGGAGCGAAGATCGGATTGAATCAGCGGGAAAAGCCCGGAGGGGTCCCAGTAGCTGCGTGATTAGGTCAGATTACGGTTTCAGGTATAATAACCTCAATGTCGGGAGTGTACGTTACTGTGACCTTGGAGGTCGAGGATGGAACTTCCATGTGTAGGCTCGGATTAGATTATGGTGGAGTCGATCTCCGAGAGTCTAGATAGTTCAGCGTCGACCGGCGGCGTACAGGCGGTAAGGGAATTCGTTATTCTCGTAAGACGTACTTGTAGAAAACGATGGGCCGTGACAATTGCTAGGTTGAAGCTCACACTGAACCTCTTGTTTACCAGCAAGTTCAGGAAAGGCAGGGGGGTTGAAATCCAAAGTATGAGGCTCTGAGGCACGTGATATCACTTTTTTCCAATTTTCCCTTCGAAATTGTTTTCGTGGTTCTCTCCCCTTCACTGAGCCAACCACCCCACTACCACCAAATCCTGCGATAATAATAATAATTCTTTTTGACATTTTTAAAGGATGGCTACCGTACTCCCACCAAAGAGTAGGCGGCAGAAGCTTGCAGATGCAAAGCGAACCCGAGAGCAGCAGGACATTGAATTTATCCCCGAATCAGTCCCAAACGTCGTTGTTCACCTACGAGCATCCGATACTGGAGACCAGCTCGCGGGAGAGCTACGTATTCCCGGGAACTCCACAGCGCAACAATTAGACCTTCTAGTCAACAAGCTTCTTCAAACAGTATGCTTCTTTCTTATATATACTTAGAATCCTTTACTGATCCGGCGCAGGAGGATGACCGAGTACCATATACCTTTTCTCTTCTCACTAATAGCGCAGACCCCGATTCCGCCATAATCAATATCACCAACGATTTATGGACTTCTGTCTTGGAACCCGGGCATAAAACCACCGAAGACGTACTCACCCTCGTGTACACCCCCCAAGCAGTATTCCGGGTCCGAGCCGTCTCTAGATGCTCCTCCGCAATCCCCGGTCACGGAGACGCGATCTTAACGGCCCAATTCTCACCTGCCTCTTCATCGAGAATGGCTACAGGTAGCGGGGATGGCACCGCGAGAGTATGGGACTGCGACACCGAAACACCCATACATACTTTGAAGGGACACAAGAGCTGGGTGTTATGTGTTAGCTGGAGCCCTGATGCAAAATATATTGCTACAGGTAGCATGGATAATACTATTCGCCTATGGGATGCTCAAACCGGAAAGGCGCTCGGAGACGCTATGAGGGGTCATACAAAATGGATCACAGGCCTCTCTTGGGAACCATATCATTTACAAAAACCCGATGTTTACAGATTTGCCTCTTCATCAAAAGATCAGACCATCAGGATATGGAATGCTACACTGAGAAGGGTAGAGCTAACTATGAGTGCTCACTCTGCCGCTGTTACATGTGTCAAGTGGGGCGGTATCGGGTTCATCTATTCCGCATCTCAGGATAAGACAGTCAAAGTTTGGGATGCCAGAGATGGAAAACTGCTGCATAGTTTGAATGCCCATGCTCACTGGGTCAATCATCTGGCATTATCGACGGATTTCGCCCTGAGGACTGCATATCATGAACACACCGGAAAAGTACCGGCCACAGATGAGGGAAAGGTGAACAAGGCCAAAGAAAGGTTTGAGAAAGCAGCTACATTAGGAGGGGAGATTGTGGAGCGTCTGGTAACAGCGAGTGACGATTTCACCATGTATCTCTGGGAGCCAAAGAAGGGGACGAAGCCTGTCGCTAGATTATTAGGACATCAGAAACTTGTGAATCATGTGTCGTTCTCGCCAGATGGCAGACTCATTGCCTCAGCATCGTTCGACAATCATGTCAAGCTGTGGGATGGGCGTGATGGAAAGTTAGTTTTTCCCTCCCGATGCGATGTACAAGCTTTGCGCTAAGCGAGGTATCTCCAAGGTTCCTTCATACCCTCCGTGGCCACGTAGCTCCCGTGTACCAGTGGTGGGTTATTACCCAAATTGACATTAATCCTGAGAATTGGTCCTAACTAGATCAAAGCTCCTTCTCCGCAGATTCCCGGCTCCTGGTGTCATCTTCGAAGGATACAACGCTGAAAATTTGGGACGTCAAGACGGGTAAACTGCACACGGATTTACCTGGCCATCAAGATGAAGTATTCGCTGTTGATTGGAGCCCCGATGGGAAAAAGGTTGGCAGTGGTGGGAAAGATAAGGTAATTGAATCCTCTCCAACATACCCAGTCTCCTCCTTACTCGCTAATGAAATTTAGGCTGTGAGGCTGTGGAAGCATTAGAAGTTGTGTTCTGAGCTATCATAATATTATTAAATAATATGCATGCGGCTTAAAAAAGTTTGGGAAAAGTTATCATGATTTGTTCGGCGGCCCCGCAATCTAAATTCTCACGTGTGATATTTTCCCTTCCCACGTCCCCCCACATGTCGGAGAAGGGTTCATGTATTATCACTCGGGGACTAATCAATAATCCCGATTGTAAACGATTGGCCAGCCCCGCACCATCGGGGCAGAAGAATGAGGAGTCGAGTGAACATTGTACAGGAGCTGACGATGAATGAGGGGTGTCTGCGTGTGTGTAACGTGTCGGAATGCAGTTTCTATTGTTTAGCAATCTACTACCGCATCCCACGATACCGGTATAGTGTGATAGCGGTGGATTCCCACGTCCAAGGATTTGTATTAGTACCGTAGTATCATAGTCTAGCCTACCGGTATTCCCCTCAGTTTGTCCATTCCCTATTTATTGTGTGCTTCGACGATGCACCCTAGGGGATGCTATTTGAGTACTCGTACAGTATTGGTAAACTACGGTAAGTTACAGATAGCAGGAAAGACCTCTCAGCCCATCCTGTGGGGGAGAAGGAGCCCGCAAGAGGCAGTTGGAAGCACATCCCTTTACTTCAGCTTGTAATATTAGTTGGGTAAGAGAAGGGCCTTGGCATAACAGGGGCCACTATTTATTGGCATGTGATGGGGGAATGATCCGAAGACGCAGGGAAAACTGTTTGTTCATGACGACAGCGGGCAGAAAAGGCAACGGGATCACATGCCAGAGTGCGGTGGAGTTTGGACGTTTTCCCGCCCGAGAAGGCTTTTTCTCTTTCTAAATTACCTCCCCCATACTCGAGCACTTTTCCCCGCGATAGTCTACTCTACTGTGTCTGAACTGTTCTTTATCTACTCGTACTCGTAATTCTATAATAATACGGTAGCCTACCGTATATCTCCGGGCGCTGGGAGTTGGTGAGAGAACAAGGACTAGGAAGGTGGGGGGGCTTTGAGTCCCTCACGTGTAGTATCATACCCGAGTACTGTACTAGTCCGAAGTCAGGACCCATAGTCTAAGCTTCCAACGCGTCGGTCGAGACGTGGAAAGTGTCACTCGCCCTCACTGCCGGTATGGTGTGGTGAAACAGGAAGCACGCTTCACTTGTGCTGCACGATGCTCCATCCAGTTCTGTGGGGTACTTGTACTCGTACCGGCACCATACAGCATCATACAGAAATATCCCATAAATCCTGGACTGGACCATTGCCGGATTGCATACCGTGGGCTGCATACGATACCGTACCCTACACACTTTTCACTTTCTACCTCCCTCCCTTCTCTCTCATCCTACCGCATTCCTTCCCCTCTGCCCGTTTTTTCCCCCTTGACACATTTCCCTCGCGTCATAGTTGCTTGGTGCAGAGGTAGTCTACCGTTGGGGTGTATTCACTTTGGTCTTTGTCTGGTGTTTCACGGTTTGTAGATAGGTACTCGTGTTTAACTATGATCGGTGCCGGCCACTTTCCGTTTTGACTTTCACAAAGGGTGGAAACCCTTCGTGAAGAAGGAAAAAAAAAAACAGACACTGACATCTCATCCGTCCGTCCACACAGATCATGTCCTCGGCCGCCCTTCGCGGCGCTTTCGCAAAGTCCAGGTTATCTCTGTCATCCTCTTCTGGAGCATGTACCTTCTCCAGGGCAACCCGCACGGTCCACCAGTGCTCTCCATTCGCAGGATCTCCCGCTTCTTCACCAAGCGTTTGACGTCCTTTCAGACCGTGACCTTGACGTTATTGTATCTTTATCTCGCACGAAACTTCGCCAAGATCTTCAATCTCGAGAGTCCGGAGCCGCTTGCGAATTTGTACTCTCGGAGTTACTTTCGTGCGACATGGGTTATGACGGCGTTGGATGCGGGATTTTGGACTGCTATGCGGATAAAGACTGGTTGGTTGAGGGATATTTGCAGCGTCGTGTTCAGTTTGTATTATCTGGTGGCGGCCGAAAGGGCGGACGAGAAGGTATGATGGTTTCCTCTCGAAAACTTTGGCAGGATTGGGGTTGACGGCTGGTGCAAACAGGTTCGCAGGGTCCGCGCAACCATCACGGTTGATCATTTACGCGTTTCCTGGAATAAATCCCAGACTCCGTATCTGAAGGCGCTCACTACATTGGTGAACCCGGCTCCGAATCGATTCGGTCCCCGACATATTCGGATTTCCCGACCGAAGGAGTCAATTTATACGACCCCCGTCGATGCTTGGCTGTATTTCGAAGGGACTCGGGAAGAACTTAAACATTGCTCCAAGTTGATCCTTGACTTTCCCGGGGGTGGATTCGTTGCCATGTCGCCTCGGCATTACGATGACATGCTTCTCGCTTGGGCACGGAAATGCCCGGGTATCCCCATCATTGCTGTGGATTATAGGCGCGCTCCGGAATTCCCATATCCGTATGCGCTTAATGAATGCTACGACGTTTATCATAGCATTGCGTGCACCAAGGGAAAGTGTGTAGGATTATCGGGGGAGACTCTTCCCAGGATTGCTCTCGGTGGAGACTCTGCCGGAGGGAATTATGCTGCTGGTGTGACGCTCATGATCTTGAATTCCACCAGCACGAGCTCAACAGGGCATCTGATGGAGGAGGGATGGAAAGGGCTGCCGTTGCCGGATGGCTTGGTCCTGGTCTATCCATCGTTGGATTTGAATATCGGTTCTTGGATGAATGACGATCAAATGAAACTTATTCGCCAGAGGGACATGCGAAAAACGAACCGCAACGTTGTTAAGCGCAAGAGTGAGTACTTTGAGCATGCCTCCGGTATCGTCCGTCCGCATAAAAGTGACGAGGACTACGATGAGGAGAGCGATAGCGACCCGGTGGTCACGAACGGATCCCTCCAGAGTAATGGCAGTATTGTGGGCAAAACTGTGCCTGCGATCACAAACAGCAAGACCCAGCCACTGTCCACTAGACTCGCCGTCACTTCTCGTCTCTCATACTTTAATGACCGTCTGCTCACACCAGAGATGATGCGAGCAATGGTGATCCTATACATTGGACCTCATAACCGACCAGATTTCGCCACAGACTTCTTCCTCTCCCCCATTGTTGCCCCGGAAGACCTCCTGGCAAGGTTCCCAAAAACCTACTTCCTCACTGGCGAGCGAGATCCCCTCGTCGACGACACCGTGATCTTCGCCGGCCGCATCAGACAAGCGAAGAAGGCCGTCTGGAGGCACCGCCGGGACCTAGGGCTCGAGCCAAGCAAGTCACGTCCGGGCGAAGGCGTAGAAGTCAGCCTGATCCCAAGCATCAGCCACGGCTTCCTGCAAATGTCAACCCTCTACCCTGAGGCTCGAAGGGAGATTAACAAATGCGCACGCTGGTTTAACGAGATACTTGACGACCGGCCGTATGACGACTCCGGCGACGACGACGAGCCATCCTCCGGCGGCGCCGGCGTCTTTGGTGGTGGATGGAGGAAGCACAAGAGAAGCTTCACCGGCGAGAGTATGACCAGTAATGACGAGGATAAGCCATTAGAGATGTCTGTTATTAATAATGGAAATGCCAGGGGTGGTAGAGGTCGGGGAGCGCCCTCGGGACGAAGGGGCCGGAGGATGGGGAGTGATGCAAGTCTTGGCAGCGAAGTGGATCTGGTTGGTAGGAGGATGCAGGGGCTTGCGGGTAGATTGACCGCCGGGTTAGAAGATGAGGATGATCAGTAGTTTTTTCTGTGTGTGTTGCGAGTTGGGGGAGGGAGTTGAGGCGTTTGCTTCCATACGGTACCCATAAGTTGTAAATATTTGCTATGTCTGTAAGTAATGATTATGCGTGCATGAGGGAAAACGGTTCAGGTCGAGTTAGAGGGTGTTTTGCTACCATGAGCGGTAGGGTTTCGGGTCTGGCCTTTGGATCAAGTATCGTATGATATCGTCTCGCTTTCTCATTGTGGGGTCGCGGAGTTGAGTGAATTGTGGAGGTGTTAGTCTTGTTCTGCGCACTCAGGATTTTTGAGGTTCGAGTGATGCTTTGTGAACTATCGGGTAAAATCCGTAATTGCTCTTAGTTAAAGTATGATTGCGCGATAACGATATCGAGGTAGTGATCATAGTGGTGTCCCATAGCTCTCGTACTGTACTATAATACATTATACTGGGGAACTTTGTGCGCAGCATCTAGCTATTATTATCCTGCCAGTGCCAAGTTCCACCCAACAATACCAGGAAAATAATAATAATACGGTACATTTGACCGGAATCCCAACAAGGGTATTGTTATGGCTAGACTACGGAGGACTCGAATACGAGTCGTTGAAGGTGAGAGAAGGAGGTAAGTTACAAGTCCAATCACTCGTTCTGAGAAATACGAACAAGTCCCGCACCCCGCCTCACCTCTACTTGTGCTATGATATGATACTCATTGTTCGGAGAATCAATATGGTCTTCTGGGAACATGTGTTGTACTTGTATCATAAATATTATTATTATTATTATTATTATTATTATTATTATTATTATTATTATTATTATTATTATTATTCACCGTTGTATGTAAGACTGCATTATCACGCCTTTTAACCTTGGGGATTCATAGGATGCCTTTTCCATCCCCCCCTCTAGTTTCCTCTTTTGCCACCCCTCCCCCCTTCCTTGGGTCATTTTCCGCTTATCATAGGGTAGTTTTCGCGGCGGGGAGTTTGAAGAAAAGTAGGTATTTGATGGCTCTGTATGATAAAAAGGAGAATGTTTCTTGTTAATAGAGGGTAGGTGGCCTGGAATGCTGTTTCACTTGTTTAAGTTTAGGATGTGTAGAGTTGGGTTTGGGTTTATTACAGCGTGGTTCGGCACTCGGGATTGATTTCGTATTTATACAATTTTGTATGATATAATACCGTAAAAATTAATACTGTTTTTTAGCGGTTTAAATAATATCTTAAGTTTATTGACTACTAGAGGTGAACGTGGTGAGTTTTGCTGGGTTTTATTTTTTTCCTTCTCTCATTCGCTTTCGGTTTATCGGATCTAGGGACTGTTTGAGACAGCATTGCCCGTGAAACAAGTTGGGTGCTGGTTGATTTGAGTTGATTTTGGTAGATGGATTCGGGATTTTGGCCATAAATTAAATACCTGTATTGTGGATAGATAACTGGCGTGTCGGGTTTGGGGAGCATTTGTTGGGGGTTAGGTTTTTGGGACACAACGTTTACTATAAATCACTGGTGTAGATGATTTCGTTCGGGCTGAGCAATGACAGACAGCGATGAATTTTCATGATTCGATTTCTCACTCGTTGCACAACTCAGTATCTGCGCCACACGTGACACCTGAAATAGCCACACCAGGAGAGCCACTTCACACAAAAAAATTATCATACTATCATACTTCGGCAAAACTCGCAACATATCCACTCCTACTATCCAATTCAAGATGTCAGACTTTCCCTTCGATGACGGCCTGACAAACGCAAAACTCATTCCGGCAAACGTCTTCTCCCCACCACCCCCATTGCCGAGAAGCAAGCAACAAGGGAGGCGAGAGCGCAAAAGGTCCGAATGGGAGGAAAAAAACCGACTTCGCGCGGCCCAGCGAGCCGCCGAGGGCCTCCCACCGTACGTACCGGATATTGAAGTGGACTTTCTGAGGAAGAAACGGCAGCTGGAGATCCAACGGCAGCGAGAAACCCAACGGCATCAATCTCCCCCCACAATGTCGCAGATTAGAGAGGAAAAAAAGGCCAAGGTCGACCATCACGAGGAGCAGGCAAACGTCAAAAAGAAGCGAAAAATCGAGACCAGTAATGGTGAATTTCCACTGTTGGACGGTGGTGTTCCGGGGCCTGTGATACAGCCCCATCAAGGACAGTTGAAAGCTCAAGCGTTTAGGCTTAAGCCACTGAGAGCCAAGTTACCGATTTGGGAGCACCAGGGTGCTATTCGGGCTGCTCTGCGGGCGAAGAACGTGCTCGTCATGCTTGGAGAGACTGGTAGCGGGAAGAGTACTCAGATTGGCCAATTCCTTGTTAATGAGAAGTGGATGGCTCGGCGGAGGGTTACTATCACTTTTGGGAATGCTGATGGAACGGATAAAGAAGTTATGGCCGGTGGGTGTATAGCAATTACACAACCCCGCCGTGTCGCCGCGACAAACCTTGCTAGGCGGGTGGCGCAGGAGATGGGCTGCCATCTTGGGGATGAAGTCGGGTACAGCGTTCGCTTCGACAATAAGAGTTCGGAAAAAACGCGGGTTAAATTTCTTACGGACGGGATGTTACTGCAGGAGATGTTGCATGACCCGTTATTGAAGAGGTATTCTGCTGTCGTTGTCGACGAGGCGCATGAGAGGACTGTGGGCACAGACTTGGTTTTGGGGTTCTTGAGGGGCTTGGTGTATGGAAGGCGGAAAGGTTTGAAGGTTATTATTATGAGTGCTACGTTGGAAGTTGAGAAGATGGCATTGTTTTTTGAGAGGGATAGGGACGCAGCATTGGCATTTATTAAGGCGAGAGAGGGGAGAAGGAGTGAGAAGAGGAGTGTTGTGGTGGTCAATGGGAATAGGAATGGCAAAGTGGATGGTGGGAAGTTACCGAATGGGAAAAAGGGTGAGCGTGCTCCAAGGATAAACGGGAATCCGTACGATCGAAAAAATGATAAAAAGGACTATTCTCCGCCATTTGTGAATGGTGAACGCAAGGGCTTAGTAGAAGGGGGTGGTAGTAATAATGAAAGCTCTTCTGAAGGCCCTGATACCGAGAATGAGCAGTACGATGGGACTGTCGCCGCTTTTAGAGTTCCCGGACGACAATTCCCGGTGGAGATATACCATACCCCGGAGCCTGTTGTGGACTACGTTGATGCAGCCTTGAAGACTGTCTTTCAACTGCATTATGCAGAGCGCCTCCCAGGGGATATACTAGTATTCCTAACGGGCCAAGAAGAAATCGAATCACTCCGAAAGCTGATCGAAGACTACGCCCAGAGCATGGACAACAGCGTCCCGAAGGTGAGGCATTCCCATCCCCATCGTGAGGTAGTTCTCTCTTTAACGTTGTTTCCAGATCCTCGTCTTACCCTTATACTCTGCCCTCCCCCCGGGCCTCCAACAACGAGTCTTCCAACCCGCATATGAAAGGAATACCCGAAAAGTCATCCTCTCAACCAACATCGCTGAGACCTCTGTCACAGTCCCAGGCGTCCGCCACGTTGTCGACTGCGGCAAAGTCAAGATGAAGCAATATCGGCCTCGAATTGGCCTCGAATCATTGCTCATAACCCCTGTATCTAAGTCCTCTGCCCTCCAACGGGCCGGCCGTGCCGGTCGTGAAGGTCCGGGAAAATGCTATAGATTGTATACCGAACGGGACTTTATGTCGTTGGCGGATACTACGGTACCGGAGATTTTGAGGTGCGATGTTGCATCTTCGATCCTTACGCTCAAGGCACGAGGGCAAGAGGATGTTCTTGCGTTTGATTACTTGGACTCGCCGGGGAGGGAGGCGCTAGGGAGGGGTCTTGAGCATCTTTATACTCTGGGCGCGCTGGATAATTCGGCGAAGATTAATGAGTTGGGGCATAAAATGGCCAAACTGCCATTAGTGCCATCTCTGGCAAGGGTTCTTATAGCGGCGGCGGAGCCCGGGGCGGATTGCCTGCATGAAGCCATTGATATTATCGCCGCCCTGTCGGTAGAGAATATCCTACTGACCCCAACCGGCGACGAGAAGCGCGAGCAAATGGAAGAAGCAAGGAAGGAATTCGACAGGCGGGAGGGAGACCACATAATGCTCCTGACACTAGTCCGCGAATACGAATCCCAACCGCAAAAAAAGGCCTGGGCGGAAAAACACTTTGTTTCTCACCGCGCGATGCAGAACCTCCTAGTACGCCCATCACCCGCTCCTCCTCTAAATCCTAGCTAACAAAAAACAACTAGGACGTCCGCAAACAACTAAAGCAATACACCACTCACTTTACAGGCCCCTCCTCCCCTCCGCCTACCCCGGCAGCGACAGTAACCCCAGACCTAGCAACTCGAGTCCTAAAATGCTTCCTGAAGGGCTTCCTTCATAATACAGCGAGGTTAGTCCCAGACGGGAGTTACAGGACCGTTGTCGGGAACCAGGCCGTCGGGATTCATCCCTCCAGCGTGCTATTCGGGAAGAGAGTGGAGGCTATTGTTTATCATGAGTTTGTGTATACTACTAGAGCATTTGCGCGTGGGGTCTCGGCTGTGGAGATGGGTTGGGTCGGGGAGGGGTTGGTGGGCGGTGGCTGAGGGCGTGAGGGGAAGGGGGGATAGTAAATAGTCGTTGTGATCATTGGCGTGTAATTATTGCCATGTCACGTGGGTGGTATTCTGGAAAATGGTGGTTTGCCTTTGTGGATGTATGTATACCGTACTCGGGCGCAAATTAAGCATTCGAAATGCTCGTCAAAGGTAGTTTAACCAACCTACTCATGCCAAGGTTATAGCATGTCGCCACAACCCCCGCTGCTCGTTTTCTCGCAAACGGGGGCACTCATACTGAGTGCCCGACAGTTCAACGTGAGTGGACAGATCAACGTGAGTTTGTGGCTCAGCATAGGAAAATTGAATCAGGGCTTACGACAGAGTTACTCAGACACAGTCTGCTGCAGTCCAAACACTAAAATAAGTACCACAACCACAAAACATTTATTTTTGCTTCACCACCTATCTAGAGGTGTAGAGTCTGCATCTGACAGCCCCAAAAATATTTTTGGAACTGTAATGACCTCTCTATCATCAGCTTCTCATGCGTGAGTACAAGCAATAATAATTGCTAATTATTAAGTAGTTGTCGAGTTACTTGACATTAAAGTTGACTGATCTATTGATTTTTACTGGTTACATCAAACTAGGAATGGCCATATCTCAAAACAGCTTTCTTGAGTCCACGATATTTGGTTGTAACCCATTTTCCTGCCTTCAACAAAAAATATCCAAGAGTTCAGGCTTTAGCTGAAACAGTCTCATATGTACCTAGTACATCATTAGCTATAGCATCTCGTCTATTCACTCCTTCGGGAGAGTACTGTACAATACTTGATTGTTAGATGTTGTATCAAGTGAAAGTTCCCGACCACAAGCCACAAGTTACCATCGAGCCACAAACTCACGTTGAACTGTCGGGCACTCAGTATGATATGAGTTGCCCCTGTTTGCGAGAGAACGAGCAGCGGGGGTTGTGACCACGAGTAAGTTGTTTCAATACCGCTATACGCAATCTTAAGAGGCGCTCTTGGGAAAAGCCCCTCCCGAAAATTTCTCAGGAAGCTATCCGCTACCGGTAATCCATACTTACACCGTGCTGTATAGGGAAGTTGTAATATTGCTGATAGAGCCTTGTTTAAACTATTATATGGTATACGTAAGGTATGGTAAAAGACGTGTGATGACCTGTTTATTACCGGTATTTGTGACGGTATTATAAGTGTATGATCAGGCATGATATATTAAGAACACAACACATATCTACCCAGACCTATCCGGATCTGATACTGGCGCATATGATACTTGAATGGGAACAATGATACCTGCGTGAAAAGGAGAAGAGAGAAGCCAAGCCGAACTATTCTAAGAAAGAGTATTGAGGCAATGTTAGCACCGTAGTGCGCTGTGACAAAAAACGAAGGGGAGAAGGAGAGGCAAATGCGGATTATTGCCCCGAGGAAGTTAGAATCGTTCTACCCCTCTATATAAAAAAAGGAAAATCCATCTTGATACCTTCTCTGGAGGAAGTGGAGACTTGTTTATTCTACTCGGATATGATACAGTTGGAGGGGAACACCTGATCAAATACACACATAACCTCAATACATTCAACCCCCCCCCCCCCTACGGGTATCATACCGACCGTGTATGATACATCCCCCATATCCTGGTGGGCCAAAGATCAAAGTGAACCACACACCCGTACAAACTGTATAGTACATGCTTGCTAAGCGCAAGATATTTAGTTAACCCATTGGCAATCATCAATGTCTAGCAAGAAATTGCTCAAAACACTTTTCTATTCTCCGATTCTCTGCATCTCTCCAACTCTCTGCATCCTTGCCCTTTTTGGTGTTTGCATCCTTAATTTCTTTGATTTTTTTCTCACAAACCTCACTGACTAGCTTCTCAAGTTGAGGGCTAAGAAGCGTCACTTGCTTCTGGCTCTTCGATAGTTCTCCCGAGATGAGGAATGCGAGCAGCTATAAAGATGCGTTATGAATCACTAACTGGGCCAAGCAATCGAGAAGCACTGCCAGAGCACTCACCGCGCTTCCTCCTCCCACAATTGCCAATAACATAATCCCAAGCTGCAAATTCACAATATTCAAACCCCGTTGAATTTCCCCGATACTCCCTTTGATTTCTCTGAGATCCTGGGAAATTGTCAATACCAAAGACAGCCTCCTAGCAATGAGTTCATTTTTCCTACCTGAGAGATCCTGGTGAAAATGTCCTCGGGATAGGGTGTAGGGGACTCGAGTGACGTATTGGGTACGTTCGGGTGACCTCCGCTGGCCTGCTTTGCCCCGGGCTCCAACTTGGGCGCTTTATCAGGAATGCTGGCAAAAGCTCTGTGGCGCTGGATCCTCGAGCAGATCCTAGGCGAGCTAGACATGGCTACCCTACCGAACCGAAACATTTTGTTGAAAAAGCCGCGTTCCTTTGGAGTTGAGGGATGTGATAGCCGGTGTTCGACCTTTGGTTGTTGAATTGCAGGACTTCGTTCCTCCTCAATCAAGAATAGGGAATTCCTCCCCACTTATACTTTACTTCCAGGTCCAGTGCTGCATCATGTATTGTACGAGTAGGACACGTAGACTAGATGGCCTACGGGCACATTACGAGCAATTGCGTCGACAACCTTCGTGATGCGGCCGACTAGTCCCTGCCCTCTACACCATATCAAACTCCTCTCAACATCTTACCAGGGCCCGATACTAGCGCAAGCACAGTGCTGCTTAGATAAACGGGTCATTATCCTAACCCTTACCATACCAAAAAGCCTTCTGGTTCTTTTATCGATCGGCTTGGCGGTAGTAGTGAAGATTTAGCTTTCCGCCATTTTTACTTGTAGTAATCTCTTAGAACCCGTGCCCGCACTAATCACAATAGGGTGAATCGCTCCAATGTCCTCATTGCATATTTTAAGCCTTTCCAATGGGGCGGGTACTCGTGCCACAACTCCCCAAAGCTCACTTGTTCACTTTTGGGAGCACTCCACTGAGTGTCCGACAGCTCAACACAACTTTGTGGCTCAAAAGCACTCTGAGTCACACTATTACTTTGTGGCTACACTGTATATTCAAGCTGAATATGATAGTACTTTGAATTTCAATGGAACTTTGGTACTCCAAGGTCCATTGAAGATCAATAGCAATGCGAAACTTAAAATCCTGGAAAGTTTGTTGTATAAAATAAAATAACAGAATATTATCATAAAATATAGTCTGATTCTATCTATCAATAACCTTATATCTATTACTGTCTGTCATGCCACTACTACCATTAATTATACTCACTAGTCAACAGGTAGAGGCCTATTATGGTGTCAAAATATGTATTGAGGTATCTCTTACAACACTTCATACTTTGGAGTGCAATAAACAAACTCTAAACATTACTGCAATAGCTTGTAAATATGAGGTACCTATTAGAAAATAAAATACAGCATCTATTAAGCTGTAAGGTTGTATTGAACCTCAATGTACAATACAGCCACAAAGTTGTGTTGAGCCACAAAGTTGCATTGAGCTGTCACGGATGAACAAGGCCAGGCGCCGTTGCGGTGTCATAGGTGTGATAGTCAGTGAGTGCTACGCAGTACAATCGATTTGGATAGGAGAGTGGCAAATATCGTATCAGATGGCCCACAGAACGGGTCTCATCTCTACCGCTAGTAAGCAGAGTAAGCAGATAGCGTATGCCGATACCGCCGCATGGTATTTTGCATCTTGGAGCGACCCGGGCAGGTTGTGAGGGTGCGGACTTTGGTGGCTTCGGGCGCCCAATAGGATTCAAGTATCATCTCATTACAGCTTTGGGTTGAATACAAAAGTCCCGGAAACAAATGCGGTGAATGGTGGGTACACAGATGTTCGTATGATAGAAACGGAATTATATTTCAGGAATTGCCTGGGCTTTTGGTCTGTCGTTCCGGCGCGGTTGTGCGATATTTTTCTCGAAAAAAATGGGGGGTCAGACCCGACCTCTAGTGATATGTGCCGGGTGATATCTTGTGATGGGTTCCATGCTTGGAACAACGGTTGGCATAGTTTCGATACTCGGGGGAGATGGCGAGGTGTGATTTCGGGTTGTCGTCGCGGTGGGTTCTTTGAAACAACTTGTGCTCCTCAAATTTAGGTCGAGTGTGTGAGATCTCTAGAGTAAAAAGTAGGATTCAAATTCTCCTCAAGATAAGTTTTATGATTTATGATTTAATAATCCGATGGTACTAATTTCATACCCTCGACGCATTTAGCAAACTCGGTAGCAGAAACTCTCCTATTAGCCAATAACAAGAAAACGCGAAACCCGATTACCACCCTGAAATCAAAAAAAATCAAAAAAGCATAATAAAATGGAAATTATATGGCTGTGTCCAGCACGATTGACCATCCAAAACCGGAGGAATCCAATCCCCCCCGCATATATCCCTTCTCACAGCCCCCCTTTCTCTTGCTTGCGATAGTGGTGGAGACTATTTTCCCCACGCCCTCCCGGGCGCCTGCCGACTGTTCCAATCGCGCCTAGCCCCTCCCGCCTCTTCTTCCTTCCGAAAGCCGCGGGCACAGCCTGAGCAGGGTACTAAGAGAGCCTCCAAGAGCGTTGCCAGCAACGGCGCTCCAGCAGGGACACGTCCTGCCCGAAGAAAGATCCGCCCTCGCCCTCCTTGAGCCAGGCCCAGAGGCTAGAGTGCGGGGTGATAGGCACATGCTGGATTGCAACATGAGTCTATCCGTGGCCTGTCTGGTGGGAGCCATAACGACACACATTGTCAATTTGTGACTGGGAACTATGGGAATACCGAGAAGGTTTGGAACGAGGAAGGCTCGGAGATGGTGAGGAATTGCTGATCGGAGCCTTTTCCGTCTAGTGGGACTGCTCTTGCCTCGTGGGGGCGCGGGGGGGGGTTTCTGGGGATTTTCCGAGCGGTGGGTGCTGAGTGGTGCGTACGTAGGAGGGGGCTGGCCCAGTAGGGAGTGCAGGTGGACTTTTTGGTTGGTTAATTGATTGGTGCCGTTCTCAAGTGTCAGTACCAA